TCAATTACAAAAATAAAACACACACACACAGGAAATTTTTCCTAGAGAACAATGATCAAGGATCCCATTTAGGGCTTGACTCAGCAGAAAATTGCATACTCCACATGAATAAACTGTTGTGCAAATGGGATAGTGCAGCTACATCGTTTAAAACAAAGATCTATTTGGTTTTATTTACTTATTTATTTGTATATGACAGCGGAATGCATTACAATCCTTATTATATAGAGATAGCACAAATTTTCCTATCTCTGGTTGTATACATAGTATATTCACACAAATTCGTGCCTTCATACCTGTACTTTGGATAATAATGATCACATATTCCACCATCATTAATAACTCCATGTCCCCTCATTTCCCCTTCAACCCCTCTGCCCTATCTAGAGTTCGTCTATTCCTCCCATGCTCCCTCTCCCTATCCCACTATGAATCAGCCTCCTTATATCAAAGAAAACATTTAGCATTTGGTTTTTGGGGATTAGCTAACTTCACTTAGCATTATCTTCTCTAACTCCATCCATTTACCTGCAAATGCCATGATTTTATTCTCTTTTATTGCTGAGTAATATTCCATTGTGTATATATGCTACTTTTTTTAATCCATTCATCTATTGAAAGGCATCTAGGTTGGTTCCACAGTTTAACTATTGTGAATTGTGCTGCTATAAACACTGATGTGGCTGTGTCCCTGTAGTATGCTGTTTTTAAGTCCTTTGGGTATAGACCAAGGAGAGGGATAGCTGGGTCAAATGGTGGTTCCATTCCCTAATTTTCCAAGAAATCTCCATATTTGGTTTTAATATAATATCATCACAATTGTACCCCATTTTTCCTTCTGCTGGAAAACTTTGGAAAAGTGAATTTTAAGAAATATATTTTAAAATTAAAATGTTTGTGATGATGAAAATAAGAAAAGGTGAAAAAGTAAGGCAAAAAGACTCAGGGATAAGATATGATCCAAAACGAATGGAAAGAAAAACTAGAGAAATTAGGTGCTTCAGCAGCCACAAAAGAAATGGAATCAATCTTCTAATCAAAGGGACAGGTACACACTGTACACAGATCCAATGTTAAGTGGCAGCTGTTTGGGAATCTGTAGCATTTCTACTTAGAACGTATTCCCAGGTTTTTGATTTTTTATTTTTAAACAAGTCATACTCTTGTGAATTCAATTTAGTGGAATGGAGTTCTACTACCCTGTCACTATGCAGAAGCCTAATATAGACCCTATAATCTAATGGCAAAAACAAGGGACATGAAAGAGAATCATCTCATTATAAAATTAGTTACATCCCATCCTATTAGCTGTCTCCATATATCCATCTTTTCTGACAGGCTCTGAGAGCCTGTTTCTGTCACACAAGGAACATTCTAGCTATTTTACATAATTGTCCCACACTCAATGGAATTTATAAATTCAGACATATTTCAATCACGCAAGAACTGCATGAAAGATTGAAGCAATGTGGCTTTGCTTTCTCCAATTTGCTATCTTTTGACCATTTTAGCACTCTTCCTAAGTAGAGTAGGGAAGGGGCAAACAGTTGGAAATCCATAGTGTTCCTCCTCAACAGCTTCACTGATGAGCTGGGTGGGGGAGCATATTCAAACAAGTGGACAGACTACACCAGAGGAGGCTCTGAGAAGTCTACATAAACCATGACCACGGATAACAGACCATAGACGAAGGTGATAATGCACTTATGAATAGCGTGCATAGGGAAACAACCCTACATTCACAACTGATAGATGACTGTACTTAGAGCCATGGTCTCTATTGAAACTATGGTGGCAGAATGACAGGGCACAAAGGAGAAAAGAAGGAAAGGCACAAGCAGAAGAAGGGTACCTAACAGAGCTTTCAGAACAGCTCACAGAAACACCAGTGGCCAGGAAGAACACATCACCTGGGATTTAGTGTGAATTATCTCCTCTCCACCAGTAATGTTAGAACAAGAAACATTCACATTGAAAACCAGAAGATAAGAAAATATATAGCTTCCCACTGTAGACTGCTGATATTGGAAAACGGTATCACCATACTCTTGCTGTGACTATTCTATAATTAGGCCTGACAGAAGATATTTCCAGTGAAATGGCCTAGTTCTACCACTGGGTAAAACAATCTTACCAACTACCTACTGTTGAGCATACTTTTGGCAACTAAATCAAAAGGCAGACTGGAGAAAAGGAAAGGGCTTCCCTTCCCCTTCCTAGACAGAGGCCTCACACAGGGATAAAGGACATCACTACCTTAAAGGCTGCTTAACATCTCTAGGGAGTGCTCTTTGGTGGGAAAGGGAAGTGGGTCTTGGCTTATAAAGGGCCTTACTAAAGAGATGCCCAAGCAGAAGAACAAGCAATGAGGAGACAAAATTTCCGGAGCTGGAAGCAAGAGAGGGAAGGATAAAAGAGAAGCCTAGTGCGAACCACAGAGCAGAACTAGTGGCTAATAAGCAGGCAGTCCTATTTTCTGACAGCTCGGAGGGAAGTCTGGTTTTGTGATGTCATTGGAAAGCTCTGATTCACCAAGCCTTCAAATGAGGTACAGAGGGATATCCACTGTTACAACACTAGCAATGTGCTAGGACTCAAAAGTCAAATTCAACATGAAAGGGCAGTCTGCTCATAAAAAGTTCTATCCATAGGCACAAGGTTTCAGATACATGACCTTATCATGATTTGTTTAAAAGCATAGAAAAAGAAGTTGTTAGGAAATGTTAGGAAATGTGGCTAAGCAGAGAAATCCAGTATGTTAAAGAGACATGTGTTTGAATCCTGGTGTGGTTTGGGAAAAGTCTATCTCTGTCATTCTTAGTGTTTCCATTGTTAAAATGGAGATAATACTACCTATGTAATCTATAGGCCGTCTAGTCCACTTACCCTTATTATATTTACAAGACTGCTACAAATCCCCAGTTCCCTGGCCTGGGAGAAACCATGTTTTCCTAAGATTGTGTAAAGTTCCAGGAATTTACTCTCTCATGGTATCTTCAGACTCTGATCTCCTGTGTTCTCAGGTGTATTTTCTGCTCTGCCTGAAGTAATTCCAGAAACCATGCTGCCTCTTCACCAAAAAAGTACACCAACTCAGCATCCCTAGAGTTTTCCTGATACTGGTTATTTGTGAGGACTTGGGGACATGCTGTGGAAGGCTGTGCCCATGTATTAAACTCTCAATTCCTTTGGCTCCTTCTTACCTCTTCGCCTCACTCCTCTTCTTCTGAACCAGCTCCAGGTTTTCTACTTCTGAGTCAGAGGCACTTATCTTTCCTCTAAAGCTTTAGAACTGCCTGGTCACCAAGCCTGGGAACAAAGACCCATTCTCTCCCCTAAGCACCATTCAAAGTATTTTCCCAGTACAAATCATACTCTTCTTTGGAAAATTCTGACACCAGCTATTAAAGCTCTAACATTTTCTCTGCTTCCTCACTTAACTGCAGGATTGCTCCCCAGAGTAAATGAAACAAAGAATATAATATAAAGCTAGCACAATGTCTTGCACATAGTAGACACAAAATAACCAGAGTGCACTATAATCACTTAATGGTGATCAGATTTAATCCCTGAAAAGATCATGCATGAAACAACCCGGGAGACCAACTGCTTCCAAAGGGAGGACACCAGACTTGGCAAGGTCTTTGAAATTAAAAGCTAAGAAGCGCTCAATCTTTCTTCAGAAACACAATAATCATGATAGATAACAGGTCCACTGACTTGTCTGCCACATTCTAAATAGTCACAACATGCAAAAAAACAGACTATAACACAGGTTCCACACTATGAAAGTCTATCACGATCACCTCAAATTACATAAGAGGGAAATTCTACTTTTACCAGTCCTCCTGGAAAACTGTCACTTAGATTGTAAATTTCCCTTTTCTGTTTAGATTAAGTTTTATTTTATGTTAAACCCCAAAGCTTTTCTCCTGTATGGCAACTCATGGCAGGACAAAAGGTCTTTCATCTAAAAACACCAAACATACATAGCCCAATTAAGACTGCAGATGATGATGAAGCTGGTCTTCCTGGGAAATTCTCATGGGCTTGGCCTTTGGTGTTCTTGCCAATAGGACTTGGCCTGGTAGACTGCTTGCTTTCTTTGAGGCCCAACTAGTTATGATTGCCTTTGAGCAACAGCATAGTAGGTCCAGTCATTTTGCAAGATTACTAAACTGCAAGCAGTAAGGTGCCTTAGACCTAAGTTAGGTAGTAGTGTTAACAGGCACTAAAAGATCAGTTTTACCTCTAAAATGTCACCATGCTGGAAGAGAAGTTCTGTGCACATGTGAACATAAATACACACCCAAAAGGCAGCTCAAAAAGAGGCCTGACCCTGGGCATCCAAAATGAAGGTAATATACTGTATACAAACACAAACCTGCAGGATTACCGACTGCCAGATGCAACTCTTCAAATGGCATATGAATAAAAACCTGAACACAATCCAGTTAATAAACATTGGTCCCAGACCCTCCATCTGTCTCTGAAGGCTATACTGATATTAGCAGTCTAAATGAAATTCTAGGTTATATCTGATAAGAAAAATGTGAGGATGTGGTCAGTTTGAGAAGAATCAAATCTAGGGGCAGCAGCAAGGTATTTCTAGGACTACAATAATGGGGACTAAACTCAAGACTGAAACAAGAACTGTATCTCTAAAAACAGGAAGAAAGGATCCAAGCTCACTCACAAGACCTCAAAGAACTTCAATGAAGTGAAACTAAAATTCCATGGTCTGGTCCCAAGTTTCCTTAACAAGGAGACCTATAAATTAGTTCTCTTTGGAGACAGAATTGTGCTGTATTTTCCTCTACATGCTCATAATGCTGCCTTAGTGAGCCCCTAATAATGAACAATTGCAAAGACCTGCCAATAAAGATAAAAGCAGCATAAAACATTACAACAAAAAGCAACAGCTATTAATCTAGATCTTAAATCCATTATCTTAATTATGTAGCTTCTCTTGAATGCCAACCTGATGGCAAGGCACTCACCTTCCTCAAAGCTGGCATTCTTCTGTCTCACTAGAGCACGGAAGTTTTCAACAGGATTCACACTTCCAACCTGAAACAGACCCACAGACAATGAACCTACAAGTCTCTTCTCTTTTTGGCAGCATCTCAGGCAACACCAGAAGGTTTCATGTAATAAATATTTTTTTTTTTTTTTTAGAGAGAGAGAGAGAGAGAGAGAGAGAGAGAATTTTTAATATTTATTTCTTTTTAGTTTTCGGTGGACACAACATCTTTATTTTATTTTTATGTGGTGCTGAGGATTGAACCCAGCGCCCTGTGCATGCCAGACAAGCGCCTACTGCTTGAGCCACATCCCCAGCCCAATAAATGTGTTCTTAAAGACAAAGAGGAGGCTTTTTCTATCATTTTCATTCCTAGGGCATTGTTATAAGCTAGCAGATTCAAGTGGTCACACAGCTGCCCAAATCTTTTCACTCATGTTTCTTTATGCAAGTTGACTTGTTTCTAGAGGGTCATCAGAAACAAGCCAAGCTTGAGGGCTTTATGTGGTACAGGTACTGCCTGTACATACTAAAACTTAACCAATAAGAAAAGGGAGGATGCTCTAGTATAAGTTCACAGTATTTGCTCCACTACAATAATATAAGAAATATCAGCTTAATGCTTGATTCACTTAACTGCCCCTTCGGGAGGACTGTTGTTGGTCATTTAGCATTAAAGTTTTGGCAGAACATACAAATATGTCCAAGCTGAACATGTCCTCAAAAAAGTAAAAGCAGATCATGTATAAAGTCTACAGTGCTAGGAGAGAAAGTTTCAAATATGCAACTCTCTGCCAAAATTAATGATACCTTCTAACTGTATCTTTAATTTGCTGGTCCCAACCTTAATGGGCCACATGGGAGAAAGCAATGGAGTTCCTATTTGCGCTGGGAAACTTTAGTACAAAATGTACTACTATCTCCAGTTTGCTTTGGAATAGTACATAGAAAAGCTCTCAAAACAAATAAGTATACTATAAAAGTATACAAATGAAATCTAAATCACTTTTCAGACACCCGATTTTTCTGAGAGCATTTCTGTTTGAGGCAGACATAAAGGCAAGCCATGATGTTGAATATCCCTTTTAGTGTAATTTGCTAGTAAAGGGCAAGTTTTAAGATCCATTGAATTAAAATAATGCAACTTTAAAAAAGGTGATATTTTCAAGTTTCAAAAATCTTCTCATTAAATAAAGCTCTCAAGTGTCAAAAAATACTTGGTTAGGGAAAATCCTAAACTTCTGAATCCTGTTTTGAAGTTGGGTATTAGATAAGAAATAGGAAAGTTAAACTAACTTAAAATTTTATGTACTTTGAGAGTAAGACTGATAACTTTTACCCCACTTACCCCATTTTGACTAAATGGAAAGTTGCAAAATGAAGGCAACAAGAAAAAAATCTGCATAAAATGTGCTACCACTGAGGTATTCTACACCTACATATTATTTGGAGCTCTATATATTATACAATTGTATAGTTAACTCTTTACTTAAAGGAAGAAAGGAAAAAGTATGGAATAGGTCTCTACAGTACACAGAGAAAGAGTGGCATTAACTGACCAATGAAACTTGATGTCATCTGTTCAAGTCCCTACCTTCCTGAAAAGGGTAGAACACTAACAAGGCTCTGCTTACCTTTGTGATATTGACTTCAGCCAAGCCTGAAACACTGAAGTGGGCTTCCCCTTCCTCAGTCTTACATTTTTTAGCAGTGGGACCCTCTTCATGGCTAGAAAAGAAAAGAAAAAAAATGGTTTACTTTCCCCCTTAAAACAAAACAAAATACAAAAAGCAGAAGTTTTGATATGAAAAGTGTAACTTATTTTCCAAGCATTAGAAACAGCCACAGCATGTAATTCTTGCTCCCACTCCCAGCCACAGGGCCCCTGGGAGCCCAACCCGGAGCAGTTCTGGCTTTGCTTTACAGTAGTACAAGATCATAATAAGCAGTTGTATCACAAAGTCCTCGGAGAAGTTAAAACTGCAAGTACAGGGGATAGAAACTTACATTTAAATAAGAAAACCATCTATCCTTCAGACATCATTTGCTAGCCTCTGTCTTGAAACCAAAAGCTAATAGCTTTCCATGTTCACAGAAGAAGATGGGTCCCATAACCCAACTTCTCATCATGTGTGTCATAACTTTATAAGTTTCTACTTACAACTACCAAAACTTACTAGACAATCTTTAAATACACAAGAGATTTGTAAAGAAGTCCTGAACTTACAAAAAGAAAATTGCAAAAAACCCTTTTAATCTGTTCTTTTATAAACCTAATTCTGTTTTGGTATGATAACCAAGTCCAACAGCATCTGTGTACTAAGGGAAAGATGAGTCCAAGAAAGTACATATATTTTCCCTCAAGTAACATGCTGGTTTTAATAACCTGTTTTAAAATCAAGAGGAGGTCAGGTTAATTGCAAAGAAGAAAATGAAAGCCAAAGACTCTGCCCATTTGCTGCGGAATGTAAAGGTATAAAGAATTTTCTCACAGAGAAATAATCAGGGTAAGGCAGCCACTGAGAAATGGTTGAGCCGATGCAGTGGTGTATGCCTGTAATCCCAGCAGCTCAGGAGGATCACAAGTTCAAAGCTGGCCTCAGCAACTTAGCAAGGCCCTAAGCATCTTACTGAGACCCTGTTTCTAGATAATATATGAATGAATGGGCTGGGGATGTGGCACAGTGGTTAAGCACCCATGAGTTTAATCCCTCTACCAAAAAAAAAAAAAAGCTTGAGTGACATCAGTTATTAAGAAATTAATAACTATGATCTAGTATTTCCTTTCTTAAAACTTATTTAAACTGACAAATGATTATTATACATGTATAATATGATGTTTTGAAATATGTATACACTGTAGAATGGCCACATCAAGCTAATTAACACACATTACCCACACAATTATCCATGTTTTCTGTGGTAAGACCAGTTAAAATGTACTCTCAGTGATTTTTCAAGACTAGTATCTAAATGTATTGTTTTCTTTTTCTTTCTTTTTTTGGTGTGGTTCAAGGCCTCAGCCTTCAGACAATGATCTTTACAGAGGTGGCTATCTTAAAAATGAAGCAAAAAAAAAAAAAGAAGTAATTGTAAAATCTGGCTTCTACGACAGTATTTCAGTAACAAATCTCCTTTTACATGTAGGCAACAACAACAAAATCATTACAGCCATATGTATGCGAATTAAAACTTGCATTACTTGACATCTTTTCCATTCACTACTGACCTTTTCCCTCTGAGAAGCAGAGAAGAGGTGACCAGAAAAGGAAACAAAGGCTGTCTTTCAGAGCCCTTTTCTTGAAAGTAGAAGGAAAAAAACCAAACACACAAAACCTTTATGGCAAAAATGGAATAAAAATGCACAAACTAAGGAAGAATGAAATTCCACTGGGTGTTGAGTATTTTAGGGAAAAAAAGGTCATTGGACTGGGAAGAAATTCAGTAGCAGAGCACTTGCCTAGAATGTGCAAGGCCAGGTTCAGTCCCAGGCACAACAACAATAACAACAAAAAGTCAGAGCCAGTTATGCAGCTATTTCAGTTAACCTTTGCCAGTTCTTCCCAGGAGACAGACAGGACTTTTGGAAATCTAAAGACAAAAGAGTGGATTGCAGTCTCAGTTTTGTCCCTGACTAGCACTGGGGACTAGCACTAGGGTCTTACTTTCTTGAAGGTGTTCATGGTGGTTTATTTTTTGTTTACCTACAGTTTAATAAGTTACTATATTATCTGAACTTCAGCTGGCTCTTCAAGAAAACACTGGTGAAAAGTACCATTACTATATCAACTAGCCCTTGCAACAATATTCATTAACTTATAAAGTAAAATTTAGAATCATTGTATCTACAAAGCACTATGCTAAATTCTGTGGAAATATGAGGCTGAATTAAATGGAAGAGTTTTTTAATACCTCCAAAATAAAACTATAAGGAAGGAAGGGTGAAGAGATATGTATACCAATTTCTCAGTCCTAGATACATAAAAACAGCTGCAAAATAAGCAAAAAGTAGTGAAACATGGTTAACAGCAGTATTAGAAATTTTTCATACATTGCATTCATGTGAAGTGTGAAAGGAAAACAACTCTCATCCCCAAATTATCTGTGAGAACACTAAGCTCTGGAATGTAGAAATCACCCATACAAAACTACAACATACACACAAATGTCAACAACTGCTACATTTGGATGATGTGACTAGCGTATTTGTTCTTTCTCCTTTTCTCACTTTCTTTCACAAATATGTATAAGTTTTGTAATTCATTTAGGTAGCCAAACATTTGCTGAATATTGACAATGTGTCAGTCACTAAGCTTATCTCTAAACCCTAGGTATAGAAAAATACCAAATTAAAAAAATATAAAAACAATGAAAATATTATGAGCAGCGTATCCCCTATAATAGCAAGTAGTTGTACTGGGCTAGAGCATAGAGCACAAGCTGGGAAGTAGTTAGAGATGAGGCTAGAAAATATATAAATTACAGGCATAAGAAATGTGAGTAGGGGCTAGGAATGTAGCTCAGTGGTAAAGCACCCCTGGATCCAACCTGGATCCAATCCCCCATACAACAGGAGGCAAAAAAAAAAAAAAAAGAAGAAAAGTTCAAGAGTCGTGACATTAAAGAATTTTAAGCAGGAGTGATATGATTGTATATTTGTATTTAAAACAAACAAACAAACAAAAAACCCTTGGCTTGCAGCCCTAGGAGGCTTCAGGATAGGAGCTTCAGCAAGACTTGTCCCACTCTCCACCTCTGGGAAGGAGAGAGGGGCTGAATTTAGGTTGATCACTACTGGCCACTGACTTAATCAATTATACCTAGTAATAAAAAGTCTCCATAAGAACGCAAAAGAATTAAGTTCAGATAGCTGAACACAGAAGGTTCCTATAGTGTGGCATGCCCAGAGGGCATGGAAACTCTGCACTCCTTTACATGCCTTCTCCTGTGCATCCCTTCTTCTGTATCTTTTGTAATATCTTTTACAATAAACTGGTACATATTGAGAAAAAAAAACACTCAGCAGGATGGCTTGGAAAGAGACTAGAATGGAGAAAGAAAAAGAGACTAGACTGGTTAAGAAGTTATCTTAGTAAAGCAAACTAAAATGAGAAGGCATACATAAAAGTAATGCCAGTGGGTGAAGCTGTTAAGAGCTAACATCATATGCTAAGCACATTTAAATTATCTCAGTTAAACTTTGCAATAACCCCATGAGTTAGCTATTATCATTGTCCTTTTATAGATGAGCAAATGAAGGCTCCTCAAAGGCAGGTATTTGTTACTGCCACTTGACAGAGAGCAACTTGCCACCTTCAATTGCTATTAAGCGGAAATGCTTGGGTTTAGACATGAATCTATCTGACTCCAAAATCAATGCCATTAGCCACTATACCAATCTGAAGTGAAAGTGGTGGTTTGAGGCAAATTTAATATAGCTTGGTAAACCAATTAGATATGGAAAGGTAAAGAAAGGAATGCCTTGCAGGAAATTAGGTGTCATTCATTCAAATACAGAATAACAGTATGAAGGGAGATTTGAAAGGGGGCACTGAAGAAGAAAGATGATGACAATTTCTGGATATACTGAACTTCAGGTAACTACAGATGCTTAAGTTATACAGTGGATAGGATGAAAATCCAGGCTGCAGGGAGGTATTTAGTTTTCAAATTTCTGTAAGTGAAATTTTAAAAAGTCTTGGGACACATACTGCTAAGGCAAAATGGAATTACAGCTAAGAGTGTAAGCTCTGGAATCAGACTGCCTGCATTTAAATCCTTACTCCAACACTTACCAACTGGAATCTTGAGCAAGTTTCTTATCTTTAATACTCAGTTGCCTCAATATTAAGATAGTGTCAATAAAATAACCTACTTCATAGTGGATCCAAACAGACAATGCAAGTAAAGCATTCAGCTTTTTACCTGTGCTCAATAAATGCTAGTTATTTTCTGAGGATAAAGCTTACATCAACATTTTAGGTTGGTAGGGAAAGAAAGGCAGCCCCTGAAGAATATGAACGGGAGTTGTCAAAGACTGGGAAATCTGGAGAAGCTGAAATTAAAGAAAATATGTGAGTTTCAAGAAGAAAATAATAACTAACAATGTCAAACGCTAAAAAGGAAAAGTTATGAAAGAGAAGGACTTCAAAGCTAAAGGGAACTGAGCCATGTATGTCTTCTGGAAGACCAGTTTCAGAGAGGTGGAGGGGGCAAAAGGGAGTGAAAGCTGAGAAGAGAAGCATTGTAGACTTGTAATAAAGCTGGCTTGTGGAGGAAAGATAATAATTAGATTAGTAATTCGTAACAGGTAGTAATTAGAGGGAGGAGGCTGAGGGGATTACTTTATTTTTAGATGAGGAGGGAAAGGAGGTATGAGAGAGGAAGATGCTGAAAATATAGAAAGAGAGAAGCTGTTAGTGGGCTAGAGTACCAGAGGACACAGAAGAGAGAGCTCAGGGCATAGGTAAAAATGGAAGAAATTTGGACTGGACCTGGGACACAATTCCACTGAGACAGGAAAAAAAAAGAAAGTAAAGGTAGATGCAATACAGATATGTTTTTAGATAATATTAGCCAGAAAATTGAGGCATTCCCACTTCGTAGCCTCTATCTTCTTTATGAAATCATAGCTACTACCATCACTATTGTTGTCACTGTTGCTAATATGCTAATAATTTAGATTTTCCAAATCATTTACCGACAAACACTGTTATTGTGTGCTAGGCATTGTATTGGGTTCCAGATGAATAGCAAACATTATTCAACTAACCCCCATGAAAACTCCATGAGAAAGGTATTCCTTTCTATTTAAATTTAATCTTAAAAATATTTACATATATACATTTTTGTTTTTGTTTGCACTGGGGAAACAAAAGGGGCATTTTACCACTACATTTACTACATTTTCTAGTCTTTCTTATTTTTTATTTTGAGACAGGGTCTTCATAAGTTGCTGAGGTTGACCTTGAACTTGCAATCCTCCTGTCTCAGTCTCCTAAATAGCTGGGACTACAGGAATGAGCCACTATGCTGGCAAGACAGATATTCCTGTTATCCCTATTTTGCCCATGAGGAAAGTGAGGCTTACGGAGGATAAGAAACCTATACGTACTATCGCATTGCAGAGCAAGGGAAACTACTCACATTGGCTGACTCTGGAGTCTAAACCTAAACCATTAATCAGGTAAGGATTACTGAGTGCCAGTATAGTGGGAGAAGTCTTTGGGGACTTGAAAAGAACAGAAAACTTTTTAGACTATCTGCACAGGGACAAAAAGAAATTGAGATTACATATGTATTAGTTGCACAAGGAGGATTATACCTTCAGAAGTCCTAATTTTGATATTTTCATTTTGATGAGGTATACCAACATTAAGGGAAGAAATGCTTCTATGCCTTGGGTATATTTAACACACCATATGAGTGGAGTATCAAATGATGCTCTTTCCCCTTTAAAATGAAAAAACTACATCTAACAGTAAGTATTCAATAGATCTGAGATGAACAGTGGACTTTCTCCCATAATGAAAACATTATCATTGGTTTTTCATTGATAATGATATTATTATTGTTTGGGCTCTGACTATTGCTTTCCCTCCAAATAACCTGAAGTATTTTTTTTTAAAAGAGAGAGAGTGAGAGAATTTTTAATATTTATTTTTCAGTTTTCGGTGGACACAACATCTTTGTGGTGCTGAGGATCAAACCCGGGCTGCACGGATGCCAGGCGAGCGCGCTACTGCTTGAGCCACATCCCCAGCCCAACCTGAAGTATTTTAACATCTGTCATTTCATAGTTATAAGATCTTTTGAGATAAGGCCATTTTTAGATGGAGAAAATCTCATAAAGGTAAAATTATTTAACCAAAATCAGATCAAGAATGACAAAGATAGGGGAAAAAAACTAGTGATTCTCAGCTCAGGACTACAATACTTCCTGATTCAACATTTGCCACTCCCCAATCTGAATCCCACACTCCTCCTCTGGAACAGTATACCTTAGATTCAGGGATGGTGATTATATACAAAAATATAGCTCAGTGTTAGCAATATTTCCCCCCTCAAGAAAACTACTCTAAAGCTGACTAGAGCCTAATCATAAAAATGAAAAGTTTTAAGAATTTTGCAGAAGGGACTGAATCATTCTCTTGAATACAGGAAGGATGTGATAAATATTTGCCAAATGCATTATTTCTGAATTTCTTAAAAACTAAGACTTCTGAGGAAAAAGGGCAGAGAACAGGTGTGTAAATAGGCCTGTAAGAGTGAGATAATTCCCAGGCCCCAGGCAGGTGATTTGGCTGCATCCCAAACCACTATGGGAGCAAAAAACAAAAAGCTCAGCCTAGCGCACAGCCTCCAGAAGAGTGAGCAAGAGGACTAGGGCTGAAGGTACAATCACAGCAGGGACCAAATCACAGAACAACAGCCTTCTGGGTCTCTGTAGTGCATTTTTTAACCAGCTAATTTACATTCTAATCAAAGGAGGAGGAGAAAATGGCCCATTTCTTTCCCACAACACCAGAAGGTAATCAAGATCATGAACTGGAGCTTTAATACACAGAAAGAGAATAGCCTGTGATTGCAGTGAGACAGAGCACGGTGTCATGGGAAGAAAAGGCCACAGACTTTTATTGAACTGTTCTCATCTACTAACCCAGAGGCATACAGGGAGATGAGGAGAGCAGAGGGAAAGTGGATTTTTAGACACTCTTCCTGTGTAGAAGGCATGATAAACTAAGAAGAGCTGTAAGTCTCCCCAGGATGTGTTAAGAATGCTCATGATAGAATCTATTGACTATATAATTTTTTCCCCTCCCAATTCTAACAAAGCTTGGGGTATTAATCTCTGGAAAGTCACACAAAAATTCAAAGTTCTCTATTTGACTTAGACAGTAATTCACTAAATCAATGATTTATAGAAACCAGCGAAGGTTTCTGGAAATTACTCCATATTCTTCAACTGGGGTATTTATAAATAATAAGCTTTGCTTTTTCAATGAAGATACAGCTGTGGGAAGCAAATCAAAAGAAAAATGAAAAGAGTGTCGTGGTGTAAAGCCAAATCTCAAAATGCAGCATAAAGAAATGAATAGATAATACTGGTTTGAGAAAAAAGTCACCAATAACTAGTTGATTGAAACCTGGTGAAATCAAGATTTATATATCCAAATGATTCTGGATAATAAAGAATAAAGTTTTTGTTTGAATGGAAATTAATATAAAGATTCTGAATAGAATCTAATAAGGAAAAAAACTTAATAGCCACTTGTAAGCTTGATTGAAGGATCGTATGAAAAGCATTGTGTAATTGTTAACCTACAAGTAACTCCCTAAAAGAATAACCAGGTTAGTATATCCTCCCACATTCACAAAATAGTTAAAGGCAAGCTAGATTTTTCATTCCTCTTCCCACTTTTCCTCCAAATGCTACACTAACACCTAACCTCCCCACCTAAGAACCTCATGTTTCAATATACTCCTCTCATCACTAGTTCCACACTTCAAAAAGGGTAAAATTTAGCCTTAGATATTAAAAGACTTTGCTTATCCTCCCTTTGTATTATTCACCAAGAATCTGATGCTGATCAAAATGTCAACAACCCAGAAGGTAGTTCTAAATCCCAAGTGAGAAGCAAGGATGAAATATGACTACAATGAATCAATGAGAAACCAATATTCCAACACAAGGGTCAAGTATCAGAAGGCTTCTTCCTCCCACTTTCTCAAATCCACTATCCCCAAGGCAGTGCCTTAATTCCAGAGCCCCCAGGACTATCACTAACCTTAAGGACAACTACATCAGGTACTTACTTGTCTTGGAAAATGTCCTGAGCAGTTACGTGATCCTTTTTCTTGATGGCTTCAGTCAGAGGGAAAAGGTTCTTTATTTTAGAGAGAGGAATCTGACATTTTGCTGTCACTTCAGTGGGGGGCTCTAGCATATTCAAAATATGTTGCTGAATTGGGGGCAGAGGCTCTTGAGGATGTAAAGCTCTGTGCAGCAGACACTGATGGGGAAAGAGAACACAAGTGGAAAGTTTGTAAATGTGTTCTTTCTATTTTACAGTCAGGGATACTCCATCTTTGGTTTGGGAGGGATACTTGACTCATACCAGACATAAGAAACAATAAAGTTTGGCCCTTAACCACTTTTGTTAGCAGGACATTGGACATGTCTTAAACCAACCGAGGAAATAGGCCCATGCTGAATAGTAATTCCTTCTACTAGAAAGTAGTACACCTCCTAGAAAGTAGTTTCATCTTATAAAAAGACACAGTCGCTTTTTACTACTTGGGGAAAATGAGGTTCTAACAATCTGGGATTATAACCTTCTCATCACAAATCTTTTAACACTCCCTTACTCATTCTGCGCTTGCTCCTTCACTCACTCTTAGAACTCAATGTGTGGTGGATCAAACAGGTGGCTAAAGGAGAGCTGGCCAAGATCAAAGAGTCCCAGGAGGAAGGCTGTGAAGGAAACGAGAACCCCGAGTTGCCCCAAACCTCCTAGGAGAGTGGAATGTGAATGCATCTCCACCAGTCTGTCCACCTCTCTTCTCTGTCCTCACAGTCACCACTCTGGCCAGACACCAACATCCCTCCTCTGGCCTACTACCATCACCTTCTAACTGGTCACCAGGCTTCTGCTTGAAAATGAATTCCTTACCATATCCCAGAAGTCCTACAATGACTGCAGCACAAACCCACCTCCCCAGTCTTGGTACCTGCCACTTCTCACTCACAACACAGCAAGGCTGGGTTCTTCAAGTTTCACTCAATCCAAGCTTGTTCCTGCTTTTGGGTCCTGGGCTTAATATTCCAGCCTCTTCTGTCTCCCCCAAGAGAGGTGGCCTTTTTTTTTTTTTTAAAGGTACTGGGTATTGAACCCAGGGGTGTTCTACCACTGAGCTACATGCCCATCCCAGTTTTAACTTATTTTGAGATAGGGTCTTGCTAAGTTGCCCAGGCAGCCCTCCTGCCTCAGCCTTCTGAATTGCTAGATTATGAGCACATTCCACTACCTACAATTAAGATTGGCCCTTGTTTTAAATCATCCTAATCTTTACTGAAGTATTTTCTCCTCAGAAGGGCTTTCCCTGATGCCGTATATAAAGTAGCCCCTGCACTCCCTTCCTACCACCTCATCACATTCTATCATTTTCCCTATTTTATATTTTTGATAATATTTACAATCTAAAATCACCACATCATTTTTTTAGTTTAGTTGCTTATTACCTAGAACTCTGCCTTGAATGTAGGGATTGTGTCTAGTTTACAGATGAATTCCAAAAACAAACATCATGCCTGGCATATAATCAGCACTTGACAGAAGATGAATGAAGCAGTACTCTTTCCCAGAGCTCTTGCTGTTAATGGAGTGGAGCAAGGCTCAAGGGACAAGGCAGGGTTTCACATGCATGGAATTGGATGGCAAGCCACTTCCATCCAATAGCCCCATGCTGCCTACAGGCAACTATACCAGGCTTTGGAGGCACCCATGTCTTCAGGAAAGCAAGCAATGAGATATTATTAAGATTAAAAAAAAGAAAAGAAAGAGTTCATCTGATATTTCCTTGGTGTGGCAAATAAATTATGCTAGAGAATAAGCTTCATTTCTTTTTTTTTTTTTTTTTGCCATGCAAGGGATCAAATCTAGGGTTTCACACATGCTAGGGAAGTGCTCTATCACTGAGCTACATCCCCTCTTTTATTTATGCGTGTGTGTGTGTGTGTGTGTGTGTGTGTGTGTGTGTGTATAGTAATTTTGAAGGAAAAAAAGGGAGTTGAACAGCTTCTGCAATTTCAAGCTATAATCTTATATAATATATAATAATCTTATAGTATACTATTTATACTATCCCATGAACTATTTTCCTACAATAAAGAAAGCATAAGCTAAAAGTTTCCATTCTAAAAAGTAAAAGGTAACTCAGGTTTAATAGTAAATATCATCCAAGAATCAATGTCCTACAAATTCAGAAAACCCTCAGTTAGAAATTAAGTACCAATTTCCTCTAGAAATTCCATGTTTGCGCCTGCCCCTTTTCAAAACACAAACCATAACTCTTCCTTCTTTATAGTATATTCATTCATTTCTGAATTTGACTTTGGCTTTCTTCTTTCTTAACTGACTTTCCCTTAAGCATCATTAAGGCTTTTTTAGTGTAAAGCAAAAGGCGAAACCAAAATGGCCCCAAGCCCTCTGTATCTACTATAACCTTGTGCATAATCCTTAATTCACAGTTCTCACCCAAGTCATTTAAAATATCTCAGCTTAGAAAGTCCTAAAGATAAAAAAAAAAAAAATAGGAAAAAAAAAAAGAAAGTCCTAAAGATGTAAGCAGTAGCTGGGCCCAGTGGTGCATACCTGTAATCCCAGCAGCTTGGGAGGCTGAGGCAGGAGGATCAAAAGTTCAAAGCCAGCCTCAGCAAATGAGCAAGGTCCCAAACAACTCAGTAAGACCCTGTCTCTAAATAAAATACAAAAAAAGGACTGGGGATATGTCTCAGTGGTTGAGTGCCCCTGGATTTAATCCCCAGTATCAAAACAAACAAACAAAAAAACTTATAAGCAGTAATCAAGCATTCAACCTGGCAGACTTCCTGAAGATTCTACCTGTGATATCCAATTAGCATATTTTGGAAAGTAGTTAGAACAGCCAGTGGAAAATACAACAAAATTTCAGTATAAATTTCAGGCAATCCTATTAAACAGTATTTTTATTAACAAGTCAATAAGAAGGAATCTATAAGACATGTTCTGAAGCAACAACCTCTTACTCATATTTTCTTAAGTTCACATTTTAGATAAATAAAGCTAAGTAGGATATCTATAAAATTCATTAAGCAAGAAATTCCAACTTGTTAAAAAAAATGAGTTAAAAGAAAGTGACATGCTTTAGTAACTAGGAAGCTGAGATCCCAATCCTTTATATATACAATGAACAACCAATAATAAAAACTTAAAAAAAAATAAGTAAATGTTACTCCTTGATGTGATTTTTTACAATTAGAAAAAGATTAGAAGGAAAAGTACAGACTGTATGGCTAATTCAAAGGGCACTAACATATTGATTATAGCAGTACTAACATCAATTATTTAAAAGGTAATTTTAACTGTACTTTTGACAAGACACATTTTCAGCATTTGTTCCAAAATTAGAATTACCCTCTTGCCAACAGATTGATTATTAATCTCTCCCTTCTTCTGTCAGCTCATTCACTCTCAACTCTAAATACTTAAAGAGAAAAATAGGCCCCGTGTTCTCCTGCAGCTTAATGTGTCCTCTCCCTTTGCCAGAAAAGCCGTATCTTCGAGGTAACCTAGGTTCCACCTCATTACTCAACTGACACTGGGCCCTGAAGTCATCAAAAACTTAACTACCAGCCCCTGAAGGCCCTCTGCTAAGCTCACCTTTGCTCATCATTGTGCAACATCTTTTCCCGTCCTTCCTTCTGGACACTCATTCTCTTTCATGCCTTCCAAGATGATCTTTGTTGAGGGTGGAGGTAGGAGCACTTGGTTTTGTTTAGTAACAGCTCTTCTTTTTACATCTACTTCTAATTGTTCGCTCACATAGTGGAGTACCTGGCTCTCTTTTCTGCTCACCATGCTCTCTGAAAGAGGTGGTCTTTTTCCACCATTGTTTTAACTACTGGCTTTATTTAAGACTATTAAATCTATATATTAAAACTGACTTTCGGGGCTTTGCACACCTATTTTCTATTTCCAACTTTCCTTTGAATATATATACTGGGACAGTCAACAAATAACTCAAATTTAACATATGCCAAAAAAAGAATTATACACACACATACACACATACACACACACACACACACACACACCTTTTCATCTGCTCCTTCTATTCTTTACCACAATTAATAGTGACATCATCCTTTTAGTCACCCCCACTAGGACTGTTAATTTCAATTTTTTTTCTTGCCAACCACCATCCAATCCCTCAAATCCTATCTCTTCTACCTTCTAAGTACCTTCAAACTCCATTCCCCCCTCCAGTCTCTACATCACTACTTTAACTCAGGCCTCAAGCAGGCCACTGTGGGTTTCTCAGCTGGCCTCCAGTCCATCTCCTATGCCACCACCAGAGCTATTTTTAAATCCTTTAATGATCACCCACTGCCACAAAATCCAAACTGCTGAGCGAGGTGCACAAGGCTCTTAATAACCTCCCTATTTACCTTCACCACCACCTTCCCCTTAGAGAAATAGAACTATCTGTGGATCCTTAAACACATGACATGTCTTCATACTGTCATGCTTTTGTGTAGGCTACCTGTTTTGCACAACATGCCCTCATTACATTATGCACCCCTCTTTTCCTTCAGAACTCTGTGCAAATGTTAATTCCTCAGAGAAGCCTCTTTTCCTCTTATTCCTGTGGTCTTTTCCCATCATTGTTTTAACTACTGGCTTTATTATCTCTCTACTCCTCTCTCCTCTCAAAGAGTCCTTGAAGTAGTGGACCTATGTTATCTTTAGCTCATGCTTCATAGTTAGTACTCAGTAAACATTTGTTTCTTGGTGGGGGGAGTAAATTCAACTTATACATCCTTAGTGAAGATAAAGAATCTGTATATATTCTTTATGTAGACCGGGCCATATTAAACTCTCCCTCACAAAAGAAAGCAAAGTTGATTATGCTGTAAAAAACTAAGTTATCAGTGCTCACAGCTTTGAAAGATAAATCTTTCTGCATTTATGATTTGTATCCATTTTTAAGTCCAAAAAAATTTACTGAACATAAATAGAGCCTATCCTAGATAAATCTGGCAAGTAGTAGAAGTTTCTCTTGTTTTGGAAAGCTTTCTCACTGCTCAGCTCCTTCCTTTCTTAGAAATGGCATAGGCTTCAGGTCTTCAATTCCATACATCAAAAACCAATGCAGTTTTCCTCAGTTATAACACTCAGGATACTAAAGGATTCACTGAGGCAGGCCTTTACATGTTAAACTTCATATTTCTAATTTCAGAACAAAATATTCTTTTTTCGCTCTTTAAAGGAATTCCAAACACCAAAACAAAACAAAACCAAAAACAGGCAGTTTCTATCATGCAAAGGATCTCTTGATTCCAAAGAGGCCCCAATTATCAAGAATACAGTAACAATAAATGTTGGCAAGGATGTGGGGGAAAAGATACACTCATACATTGCTAGCGTGGAAAGCAATATGGAGATTCCTCAGAAAACATGGAATGGAATAAGAATTTGACGGAGTAATCCTACTCCCTGGCATATACCCAAAGGATTTAAAATCAGCCTATTATCGTCACATGGCCACATCAACGTTTATAGAAGCTCAATTCACAATATCTAAGCTATGGAACTAACTAGGTGCCTTCAGATGAATGAATAAAGAAAATATGATACACACACAATGAAATATTATTCAGCCATAAAAACTTTTGTTTTTATGAACTTATGGCATTTGCCTGTGAAAGGATGGAAATGGAGACTATCATGTGAAGTGAAATAAGCCAATCCCAAAAAACCAAAGGCCTGATATGCAAATGCTAACACACAGTGGTGGGGGGATAGAAGTTCAGTGAGTTAAACAAATGAGAATGAAGGGAAGGGAGTGGGGTTGGGAATAGGAAAGACAGTAGAATGAATTGTATGTAAGTTTCCTATAGGCTCATATATGAATATATGACCAGTGTAACTCCACATCATGTATAACCACAAGAATGAAAAGTTATACTACATGTATGTATGATAAGTTATACTACATGTATGTATGATGTTAAAATGCATTTTATGTATTTTAACTACTGTCACATATAACTAAAAAGAATAATTTAAAAATACTCAAAACAAAAAAGGCCCCAATATGGATTGGGTTAGTTAAGGATGTTTTGTGAAGTGAAACAAAATGGACAGTCCATAGGTTCACATATTCACCTCACCTAGGAGTGGGCCTTCCATACCTCTCCGGGGAAGACTTTGCTTTAATAGCTGCTTGTTACATTCTTCAGTTCTGAGGGAGTCAGAGAAACTTGTGTCCAACTGTCATCAACTTCATCCAAAACTAGAATATTCTGTCCTCTCCTTCCTCAACACAAATCAGGAAAATGTTATTCTTTTATTAAATAGAGCAAATGAAGCCCTCTGTGGTTAGATTTATTTGGGACTGGCCAATTACCTTTTCACTTAGCTTTCTTTTCATTTGCTACAAATATGACTGGTTTATCTTTCTTCTCTCACCTGAAATAATCTCTGAAATGCAGGATTTGGGATCTTGGTGGTTGGAAACAAGTCTTCAATGGTGTCTTCCTCCTTGTCTTCCTTTACCAAGCTCATAGAGTCGATTAAAGCATCAACAGCACTCAACTGTGCCTCTTAAGACAAGGATAAACAGAGAAGCAGAAAGGAAAAAAAAGGATTATTCACATTATTCTCCACTAAAACAAAAGCTTTCTATTTTATAAGTACAGAAATACTAGCAGGTTATATAGTCCTGGTTCTGCCAAAAATATTCTGTATGTATGCAAGTACTTAACCTGAGTCTTGTTTTTTTAATCTGTGAAAGAGCTTTTTAGAGTAGTTGACCTCTTAGGTTCTTTTCAGCTCCTCCATTTGATGAACCTTTGACAATGGAGTATCATATCAAAAGCAAAAGAGTCTATTCCAGAAAAAACGAACAACAGCCACAGAAAAACCTGACTTCTCCATGGAAATTTGAACAAAATATTCATCATTCAATGAGCTACTTGAAAAGAGAAAAGTATTCTGAGCGTTTAGAAGGAAAAGTTAGAATCCAGCCCCCCTCTTTTTTTCCTGGAATAAGGTTAGTTTTAAAAAAATAAGGAAAGGCTTAATAAAAAGCAGATTCTTCTTTTATGCTTTTCCAGGCCTTTCTCTTGTATTTCATGTGAATGAGACTTTTTTTAAAATATAAAAATAGCAGGAGAGCTTAGACAAACTATATAATAATGTAATCAGTACTAGGGAAAAAGTGTTCCAGGACCACATTTGTCATAAAGGTAGCATCAAGGTAAGATGAAGAAGTTACACTACAAATTTATTCAAGAGGAACAAAAGTACAGAAAAATATAAAATGTGTATTTCTGAATCTTAAGCCAGAGGAAATGGAAGGTGAAGACTGGATTAAATTGTAGATTTATGCTGAGGAAGAGGAGTGAAAAAGAGAGGCAAGAATATGCTAGTCCTGGAAGAAGTTGATGACAGTAGGACACAGGTTTCTCTGACTACCTCAAAACTGAAGAACATCATAGGCAGCTTTTGAAGAAACTCTTTCCAACGGAGAGATGGAAGGCCCAACTCCTGGGTGGGGCGAGTGTATGATGGAGAGAACATGTACTATTTATTTTGACTATTTTTTAAAAATTAGTAGTTAATTAAAGAGAAAAACATTAAAAAGAAAAAGAAAACCCCTATGGCAATGAAGCATAAACTTTCTAATACTTAATGTAATTTTTATCAGAGTCTACAACCTTAACAGGAAGACATAAATACAGTGAGCTGATTCTCCTCTTAGAATCAGTTCCTCCTGCATAGACATACATCCATGTACATATCTTACCCCACTCTATTCAAAATATTCTAAAGTTCCATGACAACCTTTTTATGTCTTTTCTAATACCCAACAGAAAGCAAGTAAGTGCTCCTCAAAAAAAAAATCTACCAAGGGCTGGGTTTGTAGCTCAGTGGTAGAGCGCTTGCCTCGCACTGGGCATGATTCTCAGCACCACATAAAAATAAATAAATAAAATAAAGGCATGTGTCTATCTACAACTAAAAAAAAAAAAAAAAAAATTACCAAGTAAAACAAAACTGGGATAGTCCAAAGCGATGTGGATGAAAAACAACTTTCCTAAATGCTTCTGTTGTGCTGATTTACAGCAGTTCAGCTGTAGAACTAAAGTACTGTTTTTGGATTCACAGTCACTAGGCAAAAGGTAAAATGTACCTTATGCCTGCAGTCTCTCAAAAGTACCTTGCTTCTATTCTTCACCATTTCAGACATCCCTTTGTACAGCCACTATAAATGAAAGAGCACAGAGGTAGGTATTGTGGCACATTTCTTTCCTGTTTTTGAACTTTCCAGAGAAGGTTTCAGACAAAGGCATAGCTATCACCAACTTAAGCTAATGAGTGCAGCGTCCACATAGAATTAGCTAGGAGATGATTCTTACACATGTGAACATTCAGTGATTTTCACCTGCTACTACCAGTTAGTATCAGGCCAGATTATTCTGGCCTTTCAAACTCCTACAATGACTACATCGACTCCTACATCAACTAGGGAAATACATTAAACAGCTTTAAGAATCCATTTTTCCACAGGAAAGAATATCAACAGAAATACGTTAACACAGAGAAAATAGATCAACAGATCTAAAGATATCTGATTTTTGAGATTCTGATGATTTATGTCTATAAAATAATTATTAAACAAAGTTCTTTTAAAAAAATATTCTACTCATTTAAAGTTTGAAATGATCAAGAGGTAGAGACAAGACTGTGACACAGTGACAACTTTATACATTTAGGTCCATTCCTGCCTCCACCATGACGTAGAGGGCCTCAACTCTAGAAGGACGACAAAGATCCCAGCCGTGGAACCCATTTAATTCTTAGCCTTTTCTCAGCACACTGCTCCGAAAAGGTCGAACAAAAACAACACACAGGAAGAACACACCTACAACCCCTTAATCCTACACTGACACGGATAATAAATTAAACTTGAAGAATAAATTATCTACCGTCATTTGTTGTTCTTTTAGGTATATTTTCTCATTCTGTCCCCTGCTACATTTTATTACAGTTGTCTTAAATGGTGCGCTCTCAGGAAGACTGGACCTGTGACTCTGAGACTCATTCTGTGTAATATCCTACATGTGCAGCCAGAGGCCAAATAACAGGGTTTCTCATTAAGTTCCAAGTAACTCCTAGATGCTAGAAGTACATAACTATGAGACTTAACCTTACTGCAAACTATAAAAGGAGGGCAAAGAGAAAAGCCCATTTCCAGTATCGTCATGTGAATTTCCAAGTTTTTTCATGTATGTAGGACATGGTGTAATACTGCACACCAATTCATTTTAGCAAGGGCAAAGTTGATCACAACCAGAGAACAGACATCCAGCACCAACAAGCTATTCCCTAGACACATGCTCAAAGTCAGAAGGGGGAACTAGACAGTATTTAGAAAGTTCAGGGCAAAACTATTCCTAGTACTGAAAAAATAGTTCAGGAGTATAAGAACAGAACCAACCAATTCCATCGTGTGAAATCTTATCAACAACCAACGACTGGAGCCAGGTGATTGCCCAAGAACAAATCTGCATGCAGAGCCATTAGTGAACTAAATGGAAATAAACTCACCTGTGGGAGTAAATTTCTTATTATTTTTCAGGGATGAAAACATATATTGCCGCAAGTCTTCCATGAAAGGCAGCTGCACATACACTAAGCACTAATGAGAAAGGAAGGGGAAAAAAGTAGAAACAATAAAGTTAATGGAAAAAATATAAAAATGGTCCCAAATATTGTAAAAATGGCACAACAGAAATATTTCAGAAATCAGAAAACTCAAATCTGGCACATGAAAAACTAAAGTGTTTTGACTTGTGCTACTGACTATTCACAACTGCAAACAATATGAAAAATATTAAACATTAAAGAAATGCTTAAAAACAAAACTACTAAGGGGCTGGGGTTGTGCCTCAGTGGTAGAGTGCTTGCTTAGAATTGAGGCACTGGGCTCAATTCTCAGCACTGCATATAAATAAATACAATAAAGGTTCATTGACAACTAAAAAAAAAAAGACTACTAAATGCAAACTGTAAAACGCATGCATGATCAAGTAGAAAAAATGAGAAAAGGCAGGGTGTCTGGAAGGCTGACCTGCAAGTCAAGATATTTGCTTTCACTTTATGTTTCTGGTAAGGAATCTAGACTTACATTTTAAATACAGATCTTTTAAAACAGAAAAGCCCCAAATAGACTTTACATGGATCACAACAAAAATCATATCCTCAACCTTTATTCATAATCCCTATTTATTAAAGTGGAGGTATTTCTCTTCCCATTTGATTCTGAAGTCAAGAAGGTCAAGAACTGAGAGAAAAAATCACTGTTAACCCTTATTGATTTAATAAAAACCTCCTTAAATATTTTTTTTTAATATTTATTTTTTAGTTCTCGGTGGACACAACATCTTTGTTGGTATGTGGTGCTGAGGATCGAACCCGGGCCGCACGCATACCAGGTGAGTGCGCTACTGCTTGATCGAACCCAGCCCCACTCCTTAAATATTTTTATAAGTCATGTTGTTTCCTTACAATTGAAAACTTGGTTCATAGACCAGCAATATCAACATTACCTGAAAGTTTTCAAGAAATGTAGGATTTCGGCCCCACTCCAGATCTAGAGAATAAGTATCTGAATTTCAACAAGATCCTCAAGTAATTCCCATACATATTAACAGTTGAAAAGCACTGCTTAGCATAAAGGATGGGTTGCGGGGAGAATACAAAAAAATAAACCTGTGGGTTTTACCTCATAGGCATCCTTGATATAAGGAAAAGCCACACCAACTTGAGGATTAGCTCTTCTGTCATAAACGTATCGAACTACAGCCACCATGTCTAATTCATCCAAGGCATGAACCAAGGAGGAAAGTGCAACTGCTGCCGCCTTTTAAGAAAGATGCATGTATTAACACAGATCACAACATTACCTCATAAACCCCAATACCATTTTTTGACCACCACATTGAAAACTGACACCAAAAAGTTGTTCATCCTTTGCCAATAGATCTGAAAATATCTCTTCTTGAGTGATACTGAAGTGACCTTACAATGTACAGTACTGAAAATTCATTATACAAAATGAAGTCATTCCTGTCACAAACCACAAAAATGGAATGGAGAAGCCATGGAAAGGAAGAGGGAACACAGAGACTGCTTGGAAACTTACAGGGATGGAGTTCTGACCAACTGAAAAAAAAAAAGAAAAAATCCATTTGGAGACAGTAACGCTCACTGACAAAATAAGCATAAGACCACTGATGCTTGCTTCAGGAACTGCCTCACAAAATCATCTCAATCCCATGAGAGTGCAACTTTATGACTATCAGTATTTAGCAACTGACAAAACACTAATACAATCTCAAAAGCAGCTTTACATAGTTACTGCCACAGCTCAATGAGCAGAGCTCACCAGCTCCCTCAAGCACCAAAGTGGCAATGACTTTCTTTCCTAGTAATTTGCACAGAGGACTGACTCTCTGTGCAAATGCTAAAGTTTACAATAAGATCCCCAAACTTTCCTTTGTTCTTTAAACACAAAAGAGGCCACCAGGCCTGTGTATGTGTGCCCTGAGTCACAATCCTATTCTTCATTCCCAAATAGAAGTTCCTTCTTTGAAGCTTTGTCTCTACATTTTTATTTGACAGTAGGAAGTAGTTATCTGTATATAGCCAGATTCTAATTACACAATTCACAAGGCTGCCCTTGGCTATCAAATCCAGATAATCACCCAACACATGATTCTCAACACAGCTTAGTGACATGACATTCCTCACTGCACATGCAGCATTTCTCCCAAAATGACTAGAATTTTCTTGCATAAAGGGACAAATGGGATTTAAAACCTCAGCAGCAGAAGTTAAAAACAAGTTGTAGTTTGACAGTACACACCAGACCTACATGATTTCTGAGAATTGATTCAGGAAAAACCTATGAACTAGAATTCTCAAATATGAAGATTCCCCATTTCAACTGTGTTCTAATTTATCCCATTCAGTAGTGAGTGGAATCCACACATTTTCTTCTAATTTTAATTTTCTCATAGATGGGTATGCCGTTTGTTATTCTATCTAGATCAACAGCCAGCTACCTTTCAGAAGTGAGGATAATAAGAGGGCTATACCTGTTATACCAACACCCTACCTCTTCCCAGACAAACCAACTATATTCAGTTTACTAATTTTAATTTTAAATACTTCATGGATTTGGAAACCTGATTCAACAGTCGTAAGTAAGTTCTGACTAAGTGGTCAGAAAGAAAATATTTACAAAGGGAGCAGGTATGAGTACAGGATGCAAAAATTCTGGGGAGGTGAGAAAAGAGTAGGAAGAAGGAGGGGGAAAAGATCAAATTCCTCAATAATAGAAGTAATTTAGTGAGCCACTGAAGTGTCTCTCCAGGATGCTTATGCCAGCTCTATATGTTCAGTTTTTATGAAAAATCAAAATGTCAACCTGACCCTGACCCTCTCAACATTTGACCATGAAACTCCCACACCTAAATGAAGTCATTCAAAATATTTTCTTTTTAATATATACTTGGTCTCCAATTGTAGGATTATGTCCTCAAGTGTTTTACTCATGCTAAGACAAACTCATTTATCATTTCTCCATTTTCACAGTTAAAGGTCAGTGAATTTTCCTAATGCTGTTGCAAGAATTCATGTCATTTTAAACTTCAAAAGCCCCAAACAATCCACTTTCATCAAATGACAGTTCAATTCTGAAGCACTAACTGAATGATCCAGTTAACTCACCTTATCACCTTTTGCTGCAAAGACCTTTAGAACTTGACTTCCCATAAAGAATTTTCTCTGGACCTACAAGAGTAAGAGAGGAAAATAATTGGTTTTGATCCGATATAAAAAAAAAAACAAACAAACATATATAGCCGTAATGCCACACATTGCTAAGAAATTCTATTCAAAATGTTTTTACAAGAAAACATTCATAGCGACCAGAGACAACTTATTACTTGAGGATGACCATTCATCAACACAACAAACATCTGAGCACCTAGTGTGTATACTGTATTGTCCTGAATACAATAAACATGACAGTGTACGGGACATAATTTTGCTTTTGAGGATATTAGAGAGACAAACGTGAAATTAACTGCAATGCAGCATTAGCGTCAAAGGTTATATGATGTTATAAGAGCACATATGAAGGGCACCAAGTCTGGTCACCAAAGGTTAAGGGAAGGTCAGCAAATGCTGACACCTAAGACTTAATAGATAAAAAGGAAACAACTCAGAAGCACATCTGGGCACAAGGTCCCAGGAAGAGATTCACGCTATTGTGAATCAAAGTCTGGAGTGATATAAACTAAAATACATTTGGAGTAGTTTTGGAGTAGTGCAGCACCACAGTGTGAGGAGAATGTGAGAAATCATATTAAAGATTAACAATGATTAGATCATGAAGTCTCTTAGAAACAAGTTATGTGGTTTGGACTTTATTCTAACTGCAATGACAAAGCACTGATGAACTGCAGAGAATGAAGAACAAATTAGCAAGGGATACAAACTGAAGAAAGGAAAACCTGTGAAACCAGAAATAAGTATGCGTGTCCTTTCTTTCCCCTTTTAAAATTCAATTAACTTACCAGCAAAGTTATCAGAGGGGTCAAAGCAATCCACCAATATTCAATTAGAAAATAAATAATGAGCAGTTCCTGAAATCATAACTACCTGCATGTACCTACCAAGATCAACTTCTTTCTGATCTATGTAATCTGGAGCTTGGAGCTTCTTTATAACAACATGACACATGCTCTATAGGGCAATGTTCCTTATGTTTTTTTTCTTGCCCTCTCACCTGAGAAATTATTGGAGTACTTGCATGGTAACAGCAGCTCAAGAAGATGAGTCTCAAAGGTATGGGTAAGGCCCTTGTAATTCAAATGCTCCTCATCTACACTTCCACTCCCCCATAAGAAAACCATTACTCTAAGACATATGGGAATAAACCTATATTTTAGTTTGCTATATTCATATAGCTCGACTTGCCCTAACAGAATCTATAATAGTTCCTGATTTATTAAAGAACAGCTAATGATAACTTTTCCAAATGTACCCAAATGATTTTTCAAAGAACAGCCAGACATTTGGGAAAATTCTGGCTAAATTTTTATCTATCATATAGAAACCCAGAACACTTGACAACATTAAGACAGGCAAACTGAAAAACCTATTAAATTTTTAAAAGTAATCTACAATTAAAAGAACAAAAACAAAAAGCAGGCTAGGGATATAGTTCTACGGTAAAGTTCTATGGCAAGCAGCCTAGCATGTGAAAGGCCCTGGGTTTCATCCACAACACTATAAAAACAAAGACAAAAACAAATAAAACACACACATACACACCCCAAAACAAAATGAAAACTTATCATCAATTCAATTTAAAAATGTTAGGTTTTCAACATTCTGGTTTAAGGAAATATGGAACAATATGTGATTTTATTAATTCAAAGATAATCACTAGTCTGTAAAAAGATGCATGCTTATATTTTATCACAGTTACCATGTTCTTAACACTTGCGCCCTTTTGTTAAGATAATGTAAGAAATCATGTATGTACATTAGACTAGTCAAAAGCTGAGTTTATTCATTTGTTGAGCAGATTACCATTAAACAATAGCATAGGCTTTGGAGGCAGTCCTGTTCAAAACCCATCTCTACCATCTCTGAGCTATGTGACCGTGGGCCAGATAGATACTTAACAGCTCTGAGCCTCAACTTCCTAATCTATAAAATGCAGATCATGGGGGGGGCTGGGGATGTGGCTCAAGCGGTAGCCCGCTGGCCTGGCATGCATGCGGCCCAGGTTCGATCCTCAGCACCACATACAAAGATGTTGTGTCCACCGAAAACTAAAATAAATAAATAAATATTAAAATTCTCTCTCTCTCTCTCTTAAAAAAAAAAATGCAGATCATGGCATCTGAGAATTAAATGAAAATTTACATAAAATGCTTATTTATATATTGACTAGAATATTATAATTATTCAATAAATGGTAGTTATAATAATTATCTTCATTGTACTTATCTGGGATTTTACTTAGGATTAAATTGACTTAGAGCCTAAAAACAGAAAGTCGACTTAGAAAACACTTCATGATTTTAGAAGTTAATTTTAGGTTAATAAAAGTCTTCTAGGGCAGGGGCTGGGGCTCAGTGGTAGAGCGCCCACCTCACATGTGTGAGGCACTGGATTCGATCCTCAGCATCACATAAAAATAAATAGATACTGTGTCCAACTACAGCTAAAAATTTTTTTAAAAAACTCTTCTAAAATGGAAAGTATATTTTTTGTTCTGTTCATTATTTTGCTTTGTTATTTAACTCCCTCTCAACCTGGCAAAAGGTGATTTCAATATCCTGAGTCCTGAATTATACTTGAAGGATTTTCACAGGTCTTTTCTGCCTACCTAGATCTACAGTCACTTCTTTCTTTCTTTTTTTTATTAAGATGATTCCACGTTTTTTATGTCTTTATTTATTTATTTTTATGTGGTGTTAGGGATCAAACCCAGCTGAGCCACAACCCCAGCCCTACATTCACTTCTTTTTTTTTTTTTGAGAGAGAGAATTTTTTAATATTTATTTTTTAGTTTTCGGTGCACACAACATCTTTGTTTTGTATGTGGTGCTGAGGATCGAACCCAGGCCGCACGCATGCCAGGCGAGCGCGCTACTGCTTGAGCCACATCCCCAGTCCAACATTCACTTCTTAATAGACCAGTTTCTACGAAACAGTGAAAATGAAGTTTCTATTATGCTGAAGACTCGTAAGCACTGCTACCAATATTCATCAGTTTTAAGTTTATATGCTTTCTAAAGTGAATAATTTCATTTTTAAGAAAGCCATATTTAGTGTCTTGTTAGAAACTCTCAACTTCCTAAAAGTAATTATTCTGATCAATAAAATCTTACAGATTTTAAGTAAATACTCTCGATTTTTGGCTTATGAGTTTTTAATACATACGTATCAGTTTGGAGAATCATGAAAACAATTCTCCTCAACCTCACTAAACTCTTCTAACACTGAAGTACAATGTATATGCCAGAGCAACATAAGGAAGTTCAAATTCAGAATACCGGATTCAGAATACTTCATTAGAATTTTCACATGAGTTCTCCAATAAAAATCTCTTCATCCCTATATACCTTGGGTAAAACATATATAAAGCTACATTTTATATTTCCTAATTATAATTTATCTCTTTGGCTGCCTACCTCAAGAATATTTAATCTAAGATCTCCGGGAATCTTTTAACAATCTCTTCTAAGATAGCATGTGGTATCCCAAGGTGAATTACACGATTTCCCACATTGTCTATTTAGAACTTCTTTGCTTTGGGGCCTAAAACACATGTTACTTACATAGATAAGTTTCACATCCTAGAACTCTACATTGGAACTGAGAAGGAAAGTGACCACTATTAATCAATGATATTTTGAGAGTTAATGTCATTCAAAACTCACGTAGCAATCATCTAAAACACTCCATTATACATCATAGTTTAGAGAAAGCAATACCACAGCAAAAAAATGGATACTATTTCTTTACCTTTAAGATTACTATGAGCTTTGATGGTCAGCAAAGGGAGGAAATGACTTAACTGAACCTATTCTTCAGATTTATTTACATCTTGGTTTTTCTCTTCAAAAATCAAAAATAAGCTGGGTGCAGTGGCACAGCCTGTAATCCCAGCAACTCAGGAGGCTTAGGCAGGAGAATCACAAGTTCAAGGCCAGTCTCAGCAATTTAGCAAGACCCTCACAAACTTAGCAAGACCCTGTTTCAAAAAATAAAAAGAGCCAGGGATGTAGCTCAGTGGTAGAGCATCCCTGGGTCCAATCATCAGTACCCCCCAAAAAAGGGGAGAGTATCAAAAATCAAATATAGCTACACTAACCCCCAACTACATTAAAGAAAACAAAGTAAAATAAATATTGTAAACGAAATGACCAATCAAAAGCATACCACCTCAAGTAACAACTGGGGAAAAGCTCGCAGATTTTATTCATAATTGCAAAGCAATTACTGTACCTGAGAAGATCTACAAAATCCCAAAACAGAGAAGCACTTCCCCTCCGATTTGTATTTCATTTGTTCCTCATCCACTTTAGAGAAAGGAACTATATCGCTTCCATAGCGGAACCCTAGAGAACGAGAGAAGAGCATCTGTTAAGCATATGGGGCCTCGTTTTCTCTGAGATGAAATGAGCTCTACACATACATTAACAATGCAGGCACACTCTAGAGTGAGCCTCCATCTTCTATTCCCTGGAATCAAATTGCTGCCCCTTGTGATCAACAGGGAAAGAAAAGCAGCAGAATCACAAACCACATACACAATATAGAGAAAATTAAAATCTAATTACATTTTTTAAGTAGCATCTTTTGCAATCTAGTTACCTTAATGATTATCCAGGCTAAAAGAAATGATGTCACAAATGCAATGCACTAGTTATCCTCCAAAGATAAACCATGGTAAACTAAACTACAAGCATGATTCATAAACATAATAACAAGAACACATTTATTCAGAAGCCTGGAGACCACAGAGAAAACCTTCCATAAGAAATTTTCAGAATAAAATGTTCTCAAAAACCCATGCTGGATACCTACGAAACCAAAACTCTTCTGTTTAGAAACATTCAACTGCTAAGTTGTACATTTTTCTGCATTTAAATTTTTTCTATTTCTTGGATTTGACTGCATTTTCTCTTTTTAATTACTGAGAAATCTACATAATGCAGCACACCCACCACCCACAAAAGACAAAAACTCTAAGTCTATTCCAAGGCTTCTGCTCTGTAGAAAGATTATGTCCTTTCAATACACAGTATTTTATATATTTGGTGGGGGCATAGATCATCAAAATTCAAGGTAAATGCAAGGTCAAGCACATTCCTCTTTACTCCGAGAAACAACCAATAACAATTAAAAAAAAAAAAAATCTGAGTGTCCAGGGGCAGAGTCTATGATCTAGTGTTTACTTGTTCTTATTAGTCTATTGATACCATATATCAAAAAAAAAATAACAATAGGGGCTAAAGCTGTGGCTCAGTGGTAGAGCGCTTGCCTAGCATACATGAGGCACTGGGTTCGATCTTCAGCACCACATAAATATAAACAAATAAAATAAAGGCATTCTGTCCATCTACAACTACAAAAAAACTTTTTTTAAAAATTAAAAACAACAACAACAAAAATCCATGTTGCTATTTTTATCATGTATGTTTAAAAAAAAACTGGCAACAATAACAAAAAAACTCCAACAACATTTTAACGGGAAAATACATGGTACTTGATAAACAGTGGTATCTAAACCAAAAGCTTTTTTAACTTTTTCTGTCATCAATTTTTCATTTGATTCATTTAACAGTAAGTTGAAAGTTCTAATTAAAAATGTCTTGGGTTTTCTGGTTCTTCTACTTAAAGGGCAAATAATTTTAATTTTGTACCTAACAGAAAGTACAAAAAAACCCCTACAAATATAACCAATTCCTTTGCCCACATGGACTATAAACTAAACTATACTAGTTTCTCTGCTTAAGAAAGAGAATTCTGCATCATTAGGAGGTAGGGAATGGAGGACAAGGAAAGGAAGTCTGTAAATAAAATGGTAAAGGTGAAAAACATGTTTTAACTCTTCTCTTTCCATTGCCTCACTATAAATTATCTCTTTGTGTAACATACCAGAATTTTCTTTGCTAACAACAAAAAGAACCTACACCCTTATCTCTAGACCCTTCTTCTTCCAATCCATTCTGTACCCAATTGTCATATTTAATTTCTTAAAATGCAGTCCCAATGATTCCCTGCTCCTCAAAACCGTAAGACTCCACACTGCTTTCAATGTATAAATGTATTCTATCATTGAAAGCTCTTAATTAGTCAGTCCTGATTCAGAATAATATGTAGGAACACAGACTATAAAGGAACACAGACTGTAAAGGAACACAGCCTTAGATTCAAGTTCTGCTAGTTGTTAACTGTGTGACTTTGAATATGTTAATGAATGCCTTTCAGCCTTGGTTCCTTTATCTGTAAAGTGGAAATAACAAGTACCTGCTTCTTTAGATTGTTGTGACAGCTAAAAGAGAAAATGCAGGCTGTCAATTTTGTACCACAGTAGGCCCTCTACTTTCCTGGTCTTGGGCCTTATGCTACTCTTCCTACTATGTGCCAGACATACCAGGATCAAACCATGAGGAATGATTCTACCTCAAGTCTAATTCCAAAATTCATGTTCTATACTACTGAACTGAATTAAAGAGCTATTAGAAATTGGAGGGTGTTAATTATACTTCATATATAATCCTCCAGAGAGTCAAAATCATTCCCATTTTTATTTTTTTTTTAATATTTAGGTGGACACAATATCTTTATTTTTTATTTTTATGTGGTGTTGAGGATCGAACCCAGCGCCCTGCACATGCCAGGCGAGAGCGCTACCACTTGAGCCACATCCCCAGCCCCCATTCCCACTTTTAAATGTCTCTACTCCTAACACACATAACTATACGCTATGAGATACAGTGCTATAGATGAAATTTTTGTCAAAACTTGCAAATCAAAACTATACTGAGCAGTGCATAGCCTGACAATAAATTTCTTTTAAGAATCCTGGTTTCTATCTTAAACCATCATTTGGTATCTTATAATTTTAGCTCTTGAATATTCAGATATTCTTAGCTAGCTTCTAAGTCCTCTGGATAGAGAGGCCATCTAGACATACTATCCAAGGCAAATGGGAATAATATATGAGTACAACTTAAAAGATCTTAGTGAGTCCAAAGCAATATAACAAACAAAAATAATTTTCCTTATCCTCTGAATTAACATAAGAAAACATATCTGGATATAATAACTGAAATTGGAACTTGGAAGAATAATCATCATGGAAGTAAAAAATAAATAAAAACACTTGCTTTAGCCACTTTAATGTTAACACTCTCTTAGCTAATGAGTTTCAACTTTAAATAAAGTCAAGTATTAAGCCCTGTCACCTGAAATTAAAATTGACAGGGATGAAATACGTGCTCTCGTAGAAGCCATTCAGCCTAAGTCCCAACAGATGAGCTAAAGGAAAAAATGTCTCCATCATACCATCAGACAGCTGCATCTTATCTATACCTCAAAGTAAAATCCTTAAATGAACAATAATACAAATAGTAGCCTGTCTCATACTGCCTTAAGAAAAATCTCTTTTAGGCTAAAGTGCAAACTCTTATTAACATACCTTGAATAGTATCTTCTTTGGGAACTTCAGTTTCATCATCATCATTTAAGCAATAAACTGTTTCTTTTTGTATATCTTCTTTCTTTAGGGTTCTTGCATCCACAACCATCCAAGTCTTTTTAATTTGCTCCAAAGTAATCTTAATTTCAAAATTAAAAAAAAATAAGGAATGCTAGGATTCTGATTGACAGAAGATAAAAACCTAACATGTTCTCTGGTTCAAAAACAAAAATCTGGAACAATTACTCTAGCTACATTGTTTTACTCTTACCTATTGTGGAAATCTTGGCTTATTTTATAATAGGAAATACCTGTAACTTTCTCTACATTTCATTATCCCCTAGGATGATCTACAAATATTAATATCTCAGTATACATAAATAATTTCTATGCAAAACCCTAAAAAAGGAAGACCATACACTTTATCAATATTCTAATAAAAAAGAAAGAGAAAGCAACATATCAACAGTCAGAAATCAACAAACTTTGAAAAGGAAAGCCAAATAAAGAAGGGAGGAGACTATTCTCATTCCTAGGAACACTATTCTAGGCCTTAATGGAACCCAAAATAAAGAACTACCTCCAAGCTTCTTATGACATACCATGGGTTTAGGAACTCAGTCCTCGAATATACAAAAACATGTCTGTATATCTACTTTTTATATTTAAAATGTTTTTATTTTATTCTGTACATTTAGAAAAAAAGGCAAATCCTTGCTCATGTGGAAACATGGGTCAGAGATTCCAATTCAGGCTGGAATTTCATTAAATAATTACCAAAAGAAACTCACTTTTTAAAGTGTGCATAATATTATGGTCAAATGTGCGTATATTATGAAACATAATTTCACAATAACAACTCACTATCTTTTAATGTTTCATAGATTTTGTCACTATCAGTTCATTAATAAATGAATTAAGTGCGAGTCTCCAAAACTCTGAACTTTTGCACATCATTGATATTTCTGCCATATTACAATGTCAACATAATGAATTACATTTTTTTTTAAAAGAGAGACACACACACACACACACACACACACAAACAGAGCCAGAGACACACCAAGAGAGCTGAATTCCATAACAATCAATTATCAATGCAGAGAAAAGGGAGGGAATCAAACTCTATCAAAAATAATTCTGAAAACTTCTCCTGGCATGCCTTTTACATAAGAAGCTAAACAGAAGACTAAATGAAAAGGAAGAGCAGCTAAAGAAGCATTAATTATACTCTGAATAACCCACACATGAATTGTCAGCTGCTTATATAAGCATATTTATCTCTCTGGTAACTTCTCTTTAAAAATGTGTACCTACCACTTACCGATTTATAGGCCACGATCTTTATAGACAAATTGGAGCCAATGGTCAGCTGGCAGGACCAGGGCATGGAACGCCTCTCAATTTTCTTAAAGACACATAGTTGTCTCAGACTCTCACTTAATAAGGAAAAATACACAATAAAGTAACAATTTAAGAACGCTACCTTATGCTAGATGATGCACTCAATTTTCTAGAATGAGAAATGAGATGTTGATGATTATAGACAGAGGAACAGCAGGGGATGGCAGGAAAATGACAATCATTTGGGAGAGAGCCAGAACACAAATGAGATGGCTTAGAAGGAAGAAGGACTTGAACTGTTTTACTGACAAGTGAAAATGAATAGCTCTATCTTCCCCTATTCAATCATTCTTTCAACTCTGCCAAAGATTCTTTACATTTTTCTCAGGACCAAGGACACCTTTGAGGATATAATAAAAGCACATTCACAAATGAGTTTGCACACAATATAAATGGTTTACCAACTCCCTGAAAACAACAGACCTAAGGATAAGAACCTGCTCTGGAATATGACACTACTGCTTACAATACCACAATTCACATACTTAATTAGTTAATTCCAAATCTCTTAAAAGACATGATCTATTTTTATGCAAACAGTAGAAAGAGTTAAGTAAAGACTACTGGGTATAAAGCAAATTATTTGTCTACATTTAGTCTTAAGATAGATAACTCTAGGTTTTTTACTGATGTGAAGGGCTGGAGGAGGAGCTTCTTCACTTAAAAGTAAAGATCAACTCTTACTTGCTCTAATGAAATACAACATAGAAGATTATAGGATAGGTGGAATTTATCGTTTCACTAAGATAAAAAACAAAGGAATTAGCAATTAAATATACTCAAAGCCTTTGGCTCCATCTCCTTGGTTATAGATGAAAAACCGATCTACAAAGAGGTCAAGAGAATTAATTATCTTACATCTTCCACAGTTATAGACAGAGAGACCTCAATAGACTCCAATTCTCAGAAATGATTTAAAATAAATAACTGATATTCAACTGACATCCTATTTCCTGAGTTTACAGTATATATTTGCTTTGGGTTTGTTGGGGAATGAGTGGATCTAAGTCAGATATAAACTGTCTCATAAGACATTATTAATCCAAGTATAAGTCAAATCTAAAACCATCATAAGGATATAGATTCTGTTCCAGGGGGAAATCTAAAGACCAGTATCATATAAGATTTGAGAACAACTGTTATCAGTTATGCAGTAGAGTTAAATCTCCCCAAGAACTCAAGTTGTCCTCCAAAGATCTTCATGGCATAAGTCTAGTCTAGTGATATGGAGTATAATTTCTATAATGATTGGAAATACTCCATTTCGAACCATGACGCCCCAATAGGCAACTGAACTAAAATGTGGCTAGTGTGACTAAAGACCAAATTTTTAAATTTATTTAAACTTAAATAGCCACATGTGGCTAAGGGATTCTGTACTGGATGGCAAGGTTCTAGTCCACACATTCATGGCAGATCTAAAATCAAAGTAGCTTAAAATTGCTAGGACAATGCATAGTCAATAATGTATCTACTTGCTATGCTACAAGGAGGAAAAAACTTTAAAAATAATTTTTAAAATTTATATTGGCCTGTAATTTTTCTTTATGTTATCACGGCTAATATGTAGTTTAAGGCATGTATTCCCAAAATTTTTGAGAGAACTTAAGAATATATATCTGCACATATTGTGACAATACACATTATGCCAAGAAACTTCACTTTACAGTATTCCTCATTGATTTCTTTAGCAACCCTCTGGAAAATTATTATTCTATTTCCAAAACTTTAACTTACCTATAATTTTTCAAGGGTGTTCACATTTACAAAGTAAGGATGTAATATTCGTAAATTGTAGCTTACCAGAAATACTTAAACATTGTGGCTGAAAAAAATATTAGAACAGATATATACTATTGCTACTGAAAAATATTCTAGTTGTTCAATCTTTACTTCTTTTAAGAATTCTGCTTACACTGCCTGCCTGTATTTTGTGTACTGGTTGATAAGCTGGAATTAATTCATGAACATCAAGCAGTATTTCCCTAAGGATCTGAATCCACAAGAGCCAACTGTTTAGTAAAATATTCTATGGTCACTTTTGCCAAATCAGACCCCTTATACACATGATATTCTAGATGCCATTAATTCCTATATGTTTTTTTTTTTTGCTCAAAATAAAATTCTGTCCAATTCTAACTGAGAATAAGATGGATAAAGAAAATGGTTTCTTCCACAGTCCTTATGGATATATGAAAAAAGTAGTTTGCTTCATTGTTATATGGCACTTCAGGGATTTTACTTTTTAAAAATTATGTTGTTTTCATAATACTCATGTGAATACATTGTCTATAAATTCTTCATGTTTGGGGTTTAAATTTCTTTTTTTTTTTTGGCCTGGTCAAACTATTTTGTGACCAAAAGTTAAAAATAAACAAAAAATAGTGACACACATACTCTAAAGCCTAAATCAGAAGATAAAGAAATTGATTATTCCAGATCTGATATCACTTTTTATAACTGAAAATGGTTTTTGCAGGGGTATGAAAAGAAGAGATCCCCCCCAAAAAAGTGCCTCAAGCTTGACATAAAGAAGAAATCTACTACTTTATCTTTTACAAACCAACTTGTTAAATGTCTTGTTTTTTCTCTATATTCGCAAACTCCATTTATATAAGTCTGGAAATAAGTGAGAAACCTGTGATAACCACACAAAGGCAGAAAAGGCAGATGAAGGTAAGTATACCATTTCTTTAATAAAACTCAGAATACATTTAAAGACTGGCTGCTAATTTGAGAGCAGCTCAAAAAAGCAAAGCATTAAGGAAATACATGATCAAAAGAAATTTATTTGGGTACAACTAAAAGTTGGGTACAACTAAAAGTTGCCACATACTTTCACTTCTTACCGGAAGGAATAAATTTCATCCAGCCCATCTTCACCTTCTAAAGACATCATCACATTTTTCACCATCTGAATGCCTTCTTTTTGCTGCTCAGTAATACCTTTTTGAGGAAAGGAGGGTCCACGATCATCTAAGTACAAGCTGCCATCTCCTCTGTCCCCAGTACCATTTATCTTGGCAATTGGGAAGGGCAAACTATTAAGAAAAGATTAGCAATAGTTAAGAGAACAAGCTCTGAAGCCAAATAAACTGGGTTCCAATCCTTTGACTGATACTCACAAGCTACAAGAAAATATTCACGTCAATCTCACAAAACTTCATATTTCTCATCTGCCAATACTCTTCTCATTTCAAGTGACTAAAACCTCTTTGATTTGGTATATAACCAAACAACTAAAGAAACAGCTGTACATGGCCTTAGGAAGACTAGACCCAGGATCTCTCATGCGACAATACCTGACCCTCTCATTGTCTCTCTCCATAATGTGCCTCTGTTTGCCTTTATACTGGCTTCACTTGCTCAATTATGGCTTCCTCCACATTGCCTCCACATACATTCAAGCTCTGCTATGGTCTAAATGTATCCACCCAAATTCCTATGTTGAAACTTAATCGTTAATGTGATAGTATTAAGAAGTGATGGGCTGGGGATGTGGTTCAAGCAGTAGCGTGCTCGCCTGGCATGCATGGGGCCCAGGTTCGATTCTCAGCACCACGTACAAACAAAGATGTTGTGTCCACCAAAAACTAAAATAAATAAATAAATAAATAAATAGATAGATAGATAGATAGATAGATAAATAAATAAATAAATAAATAAATAAGAAGTGATATCTTTGGAGGGATGATTAAATCATGATGGTGGAATCTGCAGAAATGGCATCAGAGACCCTATATAAGGGATTAAAGGGGCCAGGCACAGTGGTGTATGCCTTATAATTCCAGCAACTCGGGAAGCTGAGGCAGGAGGATACCAAGTCTGAGGCCAGCCTGGGCAACTTAATGTGACTCTCAGCAACTTAGTAAGACTCTGTATCAAAATAAAAAATAAAAAAGAGCAGGGCATGGTGGTGCACACTTGTAATCCCAATGACTCAGGGGTCTGAGACAGAAGGATCACAAGTTCAATCTAGCCTCAGCAACTTACCAAGGCCCTAAGGCCCTTAGCAAGACCCTGTCTCAAAAATAACAGATAAAAAGGGTGGGGAATGTGGCTCAGTTAAGCACCCCTGAATTTAATCCACAATACCAAAAAATAATAAAAAATAAAGTAAAAGCCTGGGGAGATAGCTCAGTGGTAAAGTGCTTCTGGGTCAAATCCTAGTACCAAAAAGAAAAGAAAAGAAAGAAAGAAAAAAAAATGAAAAAAGAGACTGAAGGGCTTGCCTTTTTTCTATCTTTTTTGGCCTTTGAGCTATGTGAAGACACAGCAACAGGCACCATCTTGGAAGCAGAAGTCCCTTACCAAACACTGAATCTGCTTAGGTTGTGATCTTCAACTTCCCAAACCTGCAGAATTCTAAGAAATAAATTTATTTTGTTTATAAACTTCTCAGTCTAAGGTATTTTGTCACACAACAGGGTGAACTAACACAAAATCATAATGCCTGACTCCACTACCTAAAAGGGCCTAGTTCAATCTAGTGGTCTCAAATTAAAAAAAAAAAAAAAAAAAATCAGAAACAATGATAGCCTGAGGGTCAAAACTAGAAGATGTTAGTCTAACCTCCAGGTAGAATGTTAGAGTTCAGGAAGGAATATTTTTTTAGAAAAAGGCTATATGATATTCTAGGCAGGCAAAAGAAAAACCAAAGCCTACTAATAATCCCTCATAATTATTATGGGGTTTAAATAAAACAATGTATGTAAAATACTTAAAACTCAAATATTACTGAAGACATAGAATTTCTATACAGAAATCATAAAATTGCTAGATATAAGTAAAACCCAATTTTGTTTTTGAGTTTCATGCCAGGTGTTTATTGAAATGAGCCAAAATTAAGTTGGGATTACCAGTTATGAAAATATTCAATAATCAATATGCAAATTAAAAAATGAACCATCCAAATAAATTTTGGTAATATTCTATATAATATTTTACAAATACTTTTGCATAAACAATCTCATTTAATCCTTACATTAAAGATTTTACCTCCATTTTCTAAAAGCAACTAAAGCTACTGAGATGAAATAATCTGGCCAAAGCTACATAGTTAATAAATAATGGAGCAAAGATTCAGTCGCGTGACTGAAAGGGCGAGATACTTTCCATAGCAACACCCCTTACTCTCTTACCCCTGCAAACCTAACTGGCTAAATTTGGCAACCTTTTCAGTTCACTCGACATTCTCTGCTGGCCACCTCTATGTGGATGGTTATTTTTAAGGGAATTTTTCAATCATTTTATTTGCTATACTTAAAATAGGGTTTTGTTTGAAATGTTTCTACACATATTTCACATGACAGATTTGTAGGCCCTACATTATTTGTCAAATAAAAAGCTTCCAGGAAGCAAGGTTGCATCCAGAGTTTGTTACTGTTATTTCCACATATTGGCCAGGAAGAAGGAATGACAGATGATAAAATGAAGAATTAGAAGCTTACCCTTAATTAAAAAGTTAAATAGCAGTTCTTTCTGCCCTACATTTAATCAGAAGTAAGCATTCTCAATAGTCAGCAGAAGAAACTCAAAGCTGTGTCTGAGGAACAAGCCTGATAAAAACATAGTGCTTTTTTATGCTGCTGGTATTTTTTAAATTCACCTAGAACAATCGACCAAACATGGAATACACAAAACAATAAAACCATAAGCTTTGTATGCTGGCAGTTTGTAGCACAAGAAGAAAACATATCACCCAAGAAAAAAATTAATCAGTCAAATAATAAGCATCCCTCTTTTTGGGTTTCTCATACCAAAAAAAAGAAACACAGCTTTTTCTCAATGACATTGGCAGAAGTGCAATACAGTATACTTCAACTGTGTGGTGGTAACCTGAGATCATGAATGGGAAACAGAAGCTGAACTGGGATTCTGTAGTACTGAGAAACTCTCAACTCAATAAGAAGTGTCATTTAAAAAGCACTTAATTTTTTCTGAAGTACTGTCTTAACAAGTACCAATTTGATGAGTTATTCGGAATCTCTTTCTACAGTCCTACAGGAAGATGTCCCTCAGTACTATTATGAGATATATGCATGTAAGAGAGGTCAATTCCCTATGGCAGGCATTTTAAAGAGCCGAAGGCTTACCACTCACAGCTAGAGGCTTCTTAGTACAGCTCTCAATTTGAAAAATGAGCACCCCTAGATTAATAATTCAACATCCTATACCATCACTTGCTTTCACCAAAAATAGAACAAGAAAAATAGACTTCAAATGCAGCCCCAGGATTAGTGTAGTGAAGAGTTTTTTTGTTAGGGAGGTATGATGAAGAAAGTAAATGCTGGAGGGGAAATTTAAGCTACTGTGAAAGGAGAAACTCTGCCTAATAAACTGTGAAGTATATGTTTTCCCATAAATCTGTTTCCTCATCTCTAAGTACAAACAAGAAAATTATTTTACATATCCCTGCATCCTTCAGATCTGAGAAAGTGTAAATATAAACACTATATGTTATAAAATGATTCCCAAGCAGAAATTTTTGTCCCACCAAAGAAATTATGATCAGTAGGGCAGTTCTCGTGAGCTTTTTCAATAAAGAAGTCATCAATCTGATAACTGTTTGAATAAAATCTTATATTCAGACAAGAGAGAAACTGAATATCCTCAAAAGATTATTCTAATCCCTCAATTCTATGAGTCCAAAAACAGTACACAAATGATGTTACTGTTCAATTCCTTTGTTTCACTATATATCACTGGGATTTCCACTCCTTATCACCAAAACTCAAGAGTTCCTAGAAAACAAAGAACAATCAGTGTTTGCTGAGCAATCAGTCATGTGACAGATTCCAAGTTTGCCAAAAGAGAAGACTCCCATGGAGTCTTCATAAAGGGTCTCATTCACTGCATTAGGGATGACAGGACTTGTCTACATACATTATTCTTAGGACCTTACAAGAACTGGAGGGAGATGCCAGATTTCTTCAAGTTATGAATTATAATATCTAGCTGATCTTTGCTGAATGGGCTGTTGAGGTCAGTGAACACTTCAATATGCTTCTTCTCAAACTTCTTTCCTCTGAGAGAGAGAAAGAGAGAGAGAGAGATATCACATTAAGAAATCATTCTTAGTTATATTCTACAAACTCAAATATACTTGGTCACTGAGCAGAGTTTATGTGTTCAAAGACATACAACTTCACTGCACAATAATTAAATACATAATGAATCAGGAAGGTGGTCAGAGTTACTACTTAATATCAGTTACTTAGGGATTATACACCACTTGGTATTTTTATCTTTTTATTTTATTTGTTTCATTTTGTTTTTGTGGTGCTGGGGAATCAAACCCAGTACCTTGCATATGCTAGATAAGTATTCTATCACTAAACTATATTGCTAGCCCCCACTTAGTATTTTTTTAAATTCCTGGTAATTAAGTAAAAAGGAAATTGAAATACATCAAGTGTTTGTTTCCCCCAAATACAGCCCTTCATCTTCTTAAACTTTTAAAAAGCTGAGATTGAACCACTTTGTATCAAAAAAAGTTCATTTTGCAACAAAAAACATGCTACCTGATGAATAACAAATCACATGATGCACTGAATATTTATCAAACTGTACAATTTTTTGCAAAGACTCATATCCAGCTTTGAGTGAGGTACTTACACAGTTTCATTCTGAATCACATCCATGCACACAATCAGGGCATCCAGGACTCAGCTGGTTAAGGGTAGAAAGAGCACCAGTCACTTCTTCCTATGAACATGTAACTTTTTTTCTAGCAAAGTCCACAGTGCTAGAAATTATACAGTGGACTATGTGAGAACTTACAAGTGCTTGCTCAAATGTCCTTCCTCCAAAATTTATTTTATGAACATATATTCACAAATGCTATACATCAAAATATACATCCTGCATACAGTGTGAAAAAGAGATAATCTATTCATTTTTAACTGAAAATTTTGATGCCCTTTATCAATATCTAGAAGTCATCTTTTGTGATCACAGTATATTCTTAAATTAGAATTAAGCCATAATGTAGTATTTGTAAGTCACTCAACACAGAGCATCTCCCAGTGATCAGAATGGTACTACTAATTGTTGAGGGGAAAAAAAACAAAACAAAACAAACAAACAAACAAAAAAACACAAACAAACAAAAACCAAGAGTAAGTCCTTAAAATTAGGAAATCTATGGAAGAAACTGAAAATCTGAGTTTGGATATCAACTTGATTTTTAGCACAAAAGCACCCTCCATCTAGAAAAGCAAGTAGAATGCTAATGCTAACTATTCTAAAACTATCTTTTCTCTACTGAAACATTTCTAACCAGCATTCCCACCAAAGATAATCATATAATCAATACACACATATACTTCCTAATATCTTCCTTTTCAATGCCTCCTAACTTCTCAGTATCAGTAATGCAGAGAAAGGGCATGTGATTGGAGGACCTACAGCCTGGGTAACCAATTTGATTAATTTCACATTAAATCATAACCCACATTACCTCCTTCTCCTCAGAACAAAATATGCCTAGATGCACAGAGCCAGGACTCTAAGAGAGCCCCACCAAACTAGATTATGAGGACTCCCGAGATCAACAAAAATTTCTTCAGTCTTCTCTGGTTGAAAAGGATACAGTCAGCTTGTTGAGAACCTGGTTGGATTCGGCTTTCAATGTCCTCTAGCAAATCAAAATCTGGTAGCATCAGGTGTCTGTGTACTGTGATGTTCTGATACTGGTCCCCAGCAGCAAGGGCATTCTCAGTGCCATCTGTACCAAACAGGACCAAAGCAATCTCATTCTTGCTCTCAGCAAACACCTAGAGAAGAACATCAGAAGGCTGAAAATCATATTAAAACAACCTGGAAGCAATAAGAATCCTAACCTTCAAGATCAGACAGTTATACTTCTCTATGGCAGGTCCATGGGGTCACAAACATTAGGCTTGATCAAATATGGGACTTACTGATAATGACAATTACTAGGTTTTAAGTAGATTTTTTAAAATTATTGATTATAAGTCTCATTTCAGCACAAGTTAGAGTGAAGAAATAGGAAGGTAGTAACTGCTTTTAATGTCTTCCAGTCAAATCAGAATCTAATTCTTTAATGTTAACTAATCATGGATAATTTGAAAAGATTGTAGTCTTTCTTCCTAAAATATTTATTCAAGGTAGGGATTTTCCAGAGATTGGAAAAAAATTTTGCAAGTTCATATTCTATATTCCAGCCATTTCACAGATAGGCATATATACCCTAGAGAAATTCTTACACATGTGCATAAGACAATGAACAAGAAAGTTTGCACTTCAGGACAGTTCATAATAAGGAAAAAACTGCAAATATCCAATCTACCAACAGAACACAAGAATACACTGCAGAATAGTTATACAATGAAGTATTATATCAGTAAAAATTAATGAGTTCGTGCAACATTTTATTGATGTGAATAAATTTCAAAACCATAAGGCTGAAAAAAATTAACTGCAAAATTACATGTGCCATATAAAATCATTTCCATATACTTCTGATGGCTTGATACAACATTATTATTTAGGAATCTTCGCTTATGTCCAAAGCATACAAAATATGCATGGTCACAACTACCGAAATTCTAAGGAAAGGAACAGAAGAAAAAGAAAAAGCACTAGTAAAGGGCTTCAACTTCATCTGTAATATAAGGTACATTACTTTATACGAAAAGAAAAAAATATATAGTAAAGCGTTAGGACTGCATAGCATAAGACAATGGGAAAGTGGGTTTGATTATGGTACTTTTCTCATTTTCCTCTTTTATGAAACACTTCATAATAAAATGAAAAACAGTATCTGATACAAAAGGCAATCTCATCCCCACCAAAGTGTTAATATGAGCCTTTTACATAATGCAGAGAACTGCTCTATGGGAAGAGAAATTAATTCTATCATTTTTTATTATTGTTTTGCCTGCTAAATTTCCCAAAACAATTCCAAATACAATTCCCAGTTGTACATGAAGCAAAAGTCCCTGCCACTTGGGTTCAAAAATGTCTAGCACATGGCCTGGGCAGGTATCTGCCTCCTAGACAAGAATTCACCTGAAGCTAAGATAATCTTGATCCAAAGACAAAAACTTCAGTTATGGTAGAGGAGAAAATTTTGAGGGAGGTATGAAACTGGTATAGTACCTATATGGCTTTGTCTCTCAACCCTTTAGATTCACTTAGATGGCTTCTCTTAAAACAAAAACAACAGCAATAAAAAACTCTAGGAGCTGAGGGGTGTAGCTCTGTGGTAAAGGACATACTTATTAGCATGCATGCAGGTTTACATTCAATCCACAGAAGGCAAAAGTAAACATCTTTTACTATATTGGGACACAGCAGTACTACTTGAATACTACCAACACACCTATAATCAAATAGGGTTACAGTGATCTCTTCTTTGACACACCAAGGACTTCAAGTCATCAGAATTTATGAAAATCTAGAATGACAGGTGGGAAGTAGCAGTGCCTCATGCAAATGGCAATACCCAGAAAAATAGCAGAGGTGTCCAGGAGGAGTTGCAGTACCCAGTGAATGATGCAAGTTCTCATGGACTTAAAAAACATGGCAGTCATACCAAGTAGAAGGGGCAGAAATAGTAAGAACTAATAATTTCATATTGTTAACAATAAGCACTTTACCTATATTAATTCTTTTATTCCTCAAAACAACTCTATGTGGGAAGTTTTGTTATTTTTCTCACTTTTCTCCCCAGACACTGTGGTAGATAGTCCCCAAGATGGTCACCATCCATCCATTCCTTTGCTCCCTGTATTTGCAGGCTATTCCTTATTAAAATAAATGTAATTCTCCACCCTTAAATTTGAGCTGGCCTTGGTGACTTGTCTGACCAATAGAAAACAATGAAACTGGTTTTCTGGGATTTCTAAAGCTAGGTCATAAGAAGCCATATAGGCAGGGTCTCTTAAAATGAATACTTGCTCTTGGATACTACTTCTTAAAACCAGCTGCTATACTGTTTGCATCCCAAGCTACATAGTGAAGCGGAGGTACTGATGGAGCGCACCAACTGAGTTCACAGTTGCCATAAGATTATTTTTCAGACATGTGAGTATGCCACTTTGGACATTCAACCCAGTCAAGCCTTCAGATGATACCCACCCCAGCCTCCAACAAAAGCAACTGTATAAGCCTTAAGAGGGAATAACCTAGCAGAGATCATATAATCATCCCAAATAACCAGGAATGATAAAAGACTGGGAATGTAGCTCTATGGTAGAACACCCCTGAATTCAATTCCCAGTATCAAAAAAAAAAAAAAAAAAAAGGGACATAAAGGTTTGAGGTAGTTCGCTACACAGCAAAATGTAAATGGACTAGGTACAAAGAAGTTGAAGAACTTGCTTAGGATGATGTGGTTAGTAAATGATATGGCAAAGCAAGGATTCTAAGCCAAGTCACCTGGCCCAGAGGGTGTGTTTTTAAACATTACTGCCCTTTGTTTCTGATAAAAACTGTTAATATCCAGTGAAGGGGCCAACAGAAGGGAAAGAAAAAATAGCAGGTTCTAGTGATAAATGAACCTTTATGAGTATAGGTAGGAAATCCACCCAAATTCCCCTAAACACAGAGGGTAGATATTATAAGGTTGGTATCTTGCATTAATAGGTGGAGGCAATGTAGTTTACAAGCTCAAGGTCAATTTGAAACTCACCTGTCGTTGGACAAACATGGTCATCACTTTCTTTGCTTGTTCAAAAGGAGATTCTTCACCAGGACAGGAGTTACTCATAGCAAAGCCCACATCCATACATAGCACAACAGCTGCCTAGAAACAAAGTCCCAAAGAATGTGATAAAATAACATTTATAAAAAAAGGATTCTGAGGTTCCTTTCTTATTGTACCCACAGAACCTATACTGGTATTTAGGGGAAGCACAATAAAGGAAGGGTATGTTCTATAGAGAGAATGCATGTAAGATATAAAGCTTTACTTTGGAGAATCCTTAAATAGTTCTAATATTCTCTAAAAGTTAGAAAGCAACTTCCAGGAGAGAGGCATGCTTCAGGCAGCTGACACTCCTTTGGCCTGATCCCAGAAAAAAACCAAGATGGGAAGATCTAAATCAATCTTCAGGCTACAGTTAAGTCCAGCCCAGCTGATCCCAACATATATCATACAAAGTGCAGTTGATCTGCAGTACTACAAGCATTAGTATAGATGCTTTTATTGTTAGTTCCTGAATGGGCAATTTGTCATGAAGCATTTGTGACAATAAGTGACTGCTTCATTCTATGCGCTAGGATGATACACCCCAATAATCTGAATCAGTTTATAAATTGGGGATCGGAAATAAAGACTAAGACACCAAATCTATTCTACTAGAAGGCACAGATACAAATAAATACATGTTAATGAATTAATAAATTTATAGGTTTGTAGTGGTTATCAAGAGAGAACAGAAGATATATCTACACAAGACTGGTGGATGGCACAGAGGAGGAATAGAGGTGGAAAAAAACTTCTTCAATCTGACCCTCAGGTGAGTCTTAAAAGAATGAGGAGTCAGTCATGAGAAAAAGGAAGTTATAGACAGAGGGAACCACTTACATGAAGGCAAAACTCATTAGATAGCAATCACATACACAGGGGATTAAACAAATATAAACTAAAAATTAAAGGGATACATATAGGCTGGGGATATAAGGCCAATGGTACAGAGTTTGCCTAGCTAGCAGGGAAGGCCCTGGATTCATGTCCCAGAACTGCAAAAAATAAAATAAAATAAAATAATAATAATAATAATAAAATCAAAATAAAGGGATACATATGATGTTTTACACTCTAGATTTGGCATCCAAAATTTAACTGAATACAAGCTGCAGGAAAACTGAACTAAAAGTAACTCATAATCTCAGAGTAAATTATAGAGTCAGGTATGAAAGTTTTAGCACTACATCCCCACACCCATTTCACTCCATCCCCAAGATATTTTAGGTTGTATCAATAGCATAGTGAAATCTAGAAAGGAAGAGTATTATGATGAAAAAAGCAATACAAGTAGACCATCTTTACTGCTAATGAGCTATGAATCCTTAGGAATGTCACTTAACTTTGCTGTTAATTGAAAGAGAGAGGACAACTATTGGATTAGATGAACTTGGTTTCCAGAGATTACATTCTTTCTAGTCTCACCTGCGCTTTTTTCACTGATCAAAGTGTGAGCAATTCTGGGTATCATATCTTAAGAGGACGACTAATTACAACTGAACATGAAATGAGGTTAGGGAAGGATCTGGAGAATATGTGACCTAAAGAACATTTGGGGAAAAGCTAGATATTTGAGTCAGAGAGAAGATTAAGGGGAACATGAGAATTTCCTCCTAAATATTTGGCAGCTGTGTTATAAAATGATTGGTCTGTGGGACAGATAGTAGACTCAACAGATGGAAGTTAGAGAGATTGATTGACTTCTTATAAAGGGAAAAAAAATAACAATTTAGAAGTGATCAATAAAGGAAACTCCGTTTCCTAAAGCAATGATTTCCTGACCCTAGAAGTGTTTTAAAAATCTGGATAAGCTCCTATCAGAAGTTACAGATGATTTCTAAATTTGGTTAACCTTTGGCAACAATTTAAAATTAAAATTAAAAACTATTTTCCCCTAGTTTATATAGAATTGAACATAATGCACTAATATTAAGAAACTTCTGGAGTAAAGATAATTTATTTGGGGGGTAGGTAGTAATGAACTACAGAATTTCTCTGAGAGCAGTAAAATTTACAACCCATAGTTTTAATGCCCTAAGCCTAAAAATCTAAAGACACTTAAGAGTCACAAAGTACGCTGCTGCATTTATTTAACACATGTTCACAAAAGCTCCCTTTAAACTATAAAACACTTAAAGGACTAAAGGTCTTTTGCCAAGAATCAGATATCCAGAAAATAGCATCACAGTTTCATATTATGGAATTTATCTGGAAAAATGGTCTACATGGTATTTTGAGTTCCCTTCTGGAAGCAGTTAAAAAAAAAAAACAGGAAAGAGAAATGGAGCAACATAGCAACTCTTCATTTCTACACTGCAGCAATACAGACTGTTAGGATTTTACTCCAAGTTCATCTGCCATAAACAGCTCCTCCACTGGAGGTAAGAAGTTTTCAGCAGCTGAAAGAAGAATAAGAGAGGTAAACACCTTCATAATTGTTTGATCAACATTTCCCAGCAGGAAGTTGAGGGGTCTAGAGAGTTATTTAAACTCCTATCTCATTTATCTGTATTAAATGTATGCATAGATGGATGGATGGATGAATCCCTGGAATCACACCTCCCTCTAGTGACTCAAAAATCATTTTAGAATCAATTGTATTTTCTGTTCTTAATCCAGGACACCAAGGATTACAGATTACTAGAAACACAAGATTCTCCAGGACTCTGAAAAAAGCCTGGTTTCAAAACTGAACTCCACCACTTATGGACAGGATGATAATGGGATAATGACTTTATTTCTTTGCCATTTTCCCACTTGCAAACGGGGGAATAACAGTTTTCACATCGCAAGGTTGTTGTGAAAATTAAATGAGACAAGAATAAAAGGTACATCACAATAAGTAAGCTTTCAATAAACTCTAGATATTACACTATTATGGAGGTAATTATACAACACTACATTTCAAGTTATTTTATTCACAAAAAACCCTCTTTGCAGTTTTACTGGTCTGTGGGACAGGTGCTTATCCTGGCTAACTTCCATTTTTATAAAGACTCTGAGAACTCAGGCTCAGCAGCAACAAAGAGGACGTAGGGTAGGAGCTGGAGTGGGATTCAGGGAAGGGTGGGAGGAAAGCAGGATGAGAAGTGAGTGGGAGAGGAGGGAAAGGGGAGGGGTGACGAGTGAGCGAGACTCAAATTCAGGACTCCACATCCTCAGCTCTTCTCCTCGGGCTTCCCTCGGTCCGGCTGTCCTGCTCCAGCCCATCACCATGGTCTTCCCTCAAACCCGCCAGCTGCCTAGAAAGACGAGGGCCTCAGCCCAAGGTTCCCGCTACCTTATTTCCGGACCACGCCATGTTGCCGGTCTGCGAGAGCGTCGGACACCTCTCCGGGTGGGAACCTGCAGCGCGGCGACTCAGTTCCGGCGGGATGGCAAGCCTCCAACCTGCGAGCCGCTTCCGGCTGTGACCGCAAGGGGCGGGGAAACCGTGTTCCTGACTCTGAGCAGGCGCAGATTCCTTCCATTTCTCCCTGTGAGGAGTGTGTGGTCCTTGAGTTCTTAAAAATGTTAGTTCTGGGTTAGTACTTACAGAATTTTCCAAAAGATTCACTTTCCTTTGCTCTCATTAACAACTTACACCCTGCAGCGTTTTATGCCCGCCCTTTGGAGTTAGATTCCATTAAGTATGACACCAGAAAGTCACTTTCAGCCCTTCTAAAAGTCAAGTTTCTTCTAAAAGGGGTGCTAATGAAAAACTTTACAGGTGCGATGACCTTAGGACCAACTCCTAAAAGAAGAATAGGAGTTTTCCAGGCAAACAAAAATAAAAAGGAGCCCGATGCAGTGGGGTACGCCTGTAATCCCAGCGGCTCGGGAAGCTGAGGCAGGAGGATCACGAGTTCAAAGCCAGCCTCAGCAAAGGAGAGGCCCTCTCCCTAAATAAAATAAAATTTAAAAATGCAAAATAGGGCTGGGGATGTGGCTCAGTGATAGAGTGCCCTGAGTTCAATCCCCTGTACCCCTCCTCCCCCAAAAGTAGAAAGAACATTGTACTTTGCAGAGAAAATGGGATTGTAAACACCTGGAGGCATGAAACAGCCTCCTTGGCTTGAAAAGGAGGAGGGGAAATTTAATTTAAAAGTGAGCCTAGGGAGATACTACAAAAATGGCAGCCATCAATTTCACTGCTTGGTATGCTTACCAGCCCTTTCCAGGAAATTCTGTAACCCCTCAACCCATGCCCCTCTGAGGGGCCTTCTACAGAAATAGGGTGTTTTTATACCACAAGCTACAGGTGACCGGACAAAGGGTCCAGCAATCTGCAAAGTGTCTCCACACCTCTGCCCAATCTAGGAAAATGAGTCTATTAGGATTCTTTCCCTCTTGAAAGCTGGGCCTAGAAAAAGCAGGGACTAAAGCTGAAAAGATAGGCAGAATTCATGAAGAAGGAATCCTGGTCCTTGAGGGAGACAAAGAATATATTGGAGCCAAGAGATTTAGACACTCTCAGACCGCACTTATACAGCCCAGGGGGTTCTTCTAGCTTTTGATTCAAATTTTAAAAGTTCTTTCAAAGCCGGAATATTATTTTTAATAGTAGTTTTACTGTGGTTGGTAAATATAATTATTGAACACTCATCACAGTGAAGGAAATGTGCTTACTTTATATTTATAATTTCATCTTGTATATAGTCTCTGTTTTCTTTTTTTTTTCCTTTTCTTCTCTCTCCTCTCCACCCTCCCCGCCCCACACACACACACTCCAGTACAGGTCTAGTTCCTGGGAAAAATGAGAGGTTCTAGTAGCTTTGCTTGTTTGCATCTCAGCCATCTTTATGGGTAGCCATGGTGCTGAGAATGGATATGGATTTTAAGCATTGCTCACCCTGGCAAAAAGCCTTCATTAGTCAAGAGTGAGAGGGCAAATATTAATGTGATAGCATTTGCATATCACAAAACAAGGGGATTATGGCTTTTTAAAAATTCCATTTATTAGGGCTGGGGATGTGGCTCAAGTGGTAGCGCGCTCGCCTGGCATGCGTGCGGCCCGGGTTCGATCCTCAGCACCACATACCAACAAAGATGTTGTGTCCGCTGAGAACTAAAAAATAAATATTAAAAATTCTCTCTCTCTCCTCTCTCACTCTCTCTTTAAAAAAAAATATTTAAAAAAATTCCATTTATACCTGCCAGTACAAAATTCTTTTGGATTTGTATGATGTAGAGTCGGGTGTAAAGGGGTGAATAACAGGTTGATGGGCTAGTAGCGATAATAGTATATGTATTATGGATGTTGAGAAGAGAGAGATGTATGGGAGCCACTGTGGCATATGAAGAAAATGGATACAACAGGAAAAGGGGATGACAGGGTCTTATTTCGGTAGCCCTCAGGAGCCATGCCTTCCAGCCTTCACACCCCAAACTAGTCACTTATTCTTGAATGTGTACTGGCCTCATGTCCAGTACAGTGTGGCAGGAGTGACAGTGGTCCAATTCTGGGTCAAAGATTTCAGAATACTTGGCAGATTTGGCTTTTGCATGTTGATGAAGCCAGACATCACGTATGAAGACTGACTACCAAACCATGAAAGGCCAACAGACACATGGCGGAGACTTGTCATGAATAAAATGTTTATGTCTCCTCAAAATTATTTTATTGAAGTATTACCCCCCCTAATATGGTAATATTTGGAGTTGGGGCCTTTGGGAGATGATCTAGATGAAGTCATAAGAATGGGGCCCTCATCATGGTATTAATGCTCTTATAAGACACGACACTAGGGCCCGGAGTTGGGGCTCAGTGCCTAGCCTGCGCAAGGCACTGGGTTCGATCCCCGACACCACATAAAAATAAAAACAAATAAACTAAAGGTATTGTGTCCATCTAAAACTAAAAAAAAAAAAACTTCTAAAACAGACACTAGAGAGCTTGTTCTCCGCTCCCCCTCCCCAATCTCTCCCTCCCCATTGGATGCGTTCACTCAAAGAAAAGGTCATATGAGCACGTAGTGAAAAGGCAGTCCCCTGCAACCCAAAAGACACCCCTCACCAGAAACTAACCATGCTGGCACACGATCTTGGACTTCTGGCCTCAAGAACTGTGAGAAAACACATTTGTGTACACCTTGTCTATGTTAATTTATGGCAGCCAAAGCAGACTAACTCAAGCACCAAGCACCAATAGCCTCAGGGTTACATTTTGATGGCACCCAGCATCTACCTGGCATGCCAATGTGGCTATCTGGGGTGTAAAACTTGAGCCTCTAGGGAACAATCCCAGAATTAGAAATGTTGAGCAGAGACTTGTCATCTCCACTGAACTCTGTCCAAACTGCAGAATTTTGAGCAAATGGTTGTTATTTTAATCTACTATATTTTAAGTGTTAACAATAGTAATAAATAACTGAAAAAATATAAATCTTTTAAAAAAATATTGCTGGAGGGCCTGGGGATGTGGCTCAAGCGGTAGCGTGCTCGCCTGGCGTGTGTGCGGCCCGGGTTCGATCCTCAGCACCACATACAAAGAAAGATGTAGTGTCCACCGAGAACTAAGAAAAAATAAATAAATATTAAAATTCTCTAAAAAAAAAAATTGCTGGATTGCAGACTATGTGTGCCCTTCAGGGTACTTAAATTTTTTATTTATTTTGAAATTTCTATTAAATTGCTGGAATATTTTTGAATTTGACGTCACTCTGCAAGTGCACTATGTGAATGATGACTTCATGAGCATTATAAATAGCAAATATAGGGCTAAGGTTGTGGCTTAGTGGTAGAGCACTCACCTAGCATGGGAGACACACTGGGTTTGATCCTCAGCACCATATAAATAAATAAAGGTATTGTGTCCATCTATAATTAAAACATATTTTTAAAAAAGAAAAAAGTAAATATGTGCAGCCTTTGTGCTTTGACAGAGAGCTGTGATTATGATTATATAGACAATTGGGAAAATTAGTTAAAATCTTAACAGTATATAGATATGAAATAAAATTTTATATCCAAAATAAATTTTGAGTCCATTCAAAATTCACATTAAAAGGTTCATGTTAGTAATTAAATTAATCAAGGCAAGAAAAAGAAATCTTTTGATATTGGCCACTAATCTTGTTTTGTTTTGTTTTTTGTTATCTGAGGATTGAATACAAGGGTACTTAACCACTAAGCCACACCCCCAGACATTCTCATCTTTTATTTTTAGACAAGGGGTTATAGTTTAGATATGATGTCCCCCAAAACTCATGTGTGAGAGACAATGAAAGAAGGTTTGGAGGAGAAATGATTGGTTGTAAGAGCCTTAACCCAATCAATAATTTAATTCCCTGATAGGGATTAACTGAGTAGTAACTGAAGAGGTAGGGTATGGCTGGAGGAGGTGGAATTGGGGTGTGGCTTTGGGGTATTTATTTGTATCTGGTAAGTAGAGTCTCTCTCTGCTTCCTGGTAAGGATGATATGAGCTTCCTCCCTCTGCCTCACTTTGAGCCTGAGGAATGGAGCCAAACTTCTATGGTCTAACATCTCTGAAACCATGAGTCCTCACCCTCTAAAGCTGTTCCAGTCAGGTCTTTTAGTCACAGTGGGGGAAAACTTACTAAAACACAGGGTCTCAATGAGTTGCTTAGGGCCTTGCTAAATTGCCGAGGCTGACTTTGAACTTATGGTCTGCCTGCCTCAGCCTCCCAAATCGCTGGGATTATAGGTGTGATCACCAAACCCTGAAGCTACTGATTTTTTCAACACTGTAACCATTCCAAAATGACAGAATCAAACTTTCAATGCAACTGAAATTAATTCTTTTTAAGATATAAAATCTCATTTCATAGGAACAAGGTTTTAGTTCCCTCAGACATAAACTGAAATGAAAGGGTGCCACCTAATGGTAACAGACAAGATGACTTGGAAGCATCAGGATCACCATACTGGGTCTGACATGGTTAATCCAGCTCTGCATATTATGGCTGCTAAGCAACTTAAAATGTGTTCCTCATCTTCAATATTGACCATGAATATTAGGAAACTATAAGCTAAGAAATTATTCAAATATAATATCTAACTGCAATTTCTTCTGTAATGTTCTCTAGGTGTTTACTGAGAGCAAGGTTTTCTTCTGTTGCTTTAGTTCTGTTTGGTTCAGTTTTCTTTCCTCTAGTCTAAGCATTTACATACCACTTTAGAGCCCTTTTGAAATAATTTTAGTGTATGAGCCTGAGTCTATCTCTTCCAATAGGTGATAAGCCCAACCAGAGTGAAGGTCCTGTCAGCTTCATCTAGGTATCCTTTGGGCATAGTCTCATTCTCACCCCATACTTCCATTCTACTATGTCCACTTACCTTTGACTTTTTGTGTCCTTGATATTGATTTTTCCCAACTAACATGACAGAAAAATGCAACAAAATGTAGTTGCAATATTTTAATGTGGGCTTAGATAAAAAGCATGACTTATGTTAACAGTTCACTTAAGTAGAACCCCCAT